TCTGTGCCAAAAATAACGAAGGCAAACGATTTTTGGGGGTCACGAATTCAAAATGAACATGTCAATTTTAGCAGAAAATCGACCAAATTACCATTATTTTATGTTGGGACAAGGTTACCATGCTAACTAGGTCGGGGTCGATTCTATCATTATTTGCTCTGTTCTGGATCTATAGCAGTGGCAGAAGTAACGATATTAGATCACTTTTATGGGTTGCAAGCTTGCATTGGAGTTTTAATTTTAGTGGAAAAATGACTTCATTTGAACGACTATAAATATGCAAAGCCAACGTGTTCCAGTGGTATTAATGGTTGTTAGACACCGTGCAACATTGCTTTAGTTGTAGCCAGAAGGTATATTCGACGTGCAGCGGTAAAACAGAGCACCAAAAATATCATTTTGGTCAATGAACAGCATATGCTCATTTACACTCACCCTGGCTTAGACCGTCATTAGCACCTACACAAGACCGCAACTCTTAGAACGAATGGCTATGTAGTCAGGGGGTTAAAATCGGCGATCGAGGCTTTCTCATTGGAACCACCTAATTTTCAATGAGTCGTCTCATTCAGCAAAGGAAATGACCAATCCCCAGGACATGAACATTGACCTATCGATACAATTTGGGTGGAAGGGGCATTAAAAACCGTTACGGTATAACCATATAACTCGCATGCCGTATTTTAACAGAAATATGGCATGAAGTAGATAAAGAAGTTATCAATTGCTTCTGTATATCTATACCGAGATAAAACAGCACTAAGCTATGCCGGTATGCATGAATGATGACCTTTGCCAATTTGCTAGCCGACCTCCCCGAGTCCCGGAGTTGCAGAGACGGATGAGGGAGGAGCGCAAGCTTTACACCACCGTCGGGTGGCTGCTGTATGAGTTTAGCTTTGCCCCTGCCCCACAAACACCCAAACCCGCACACAGCATGTGCGTTTGAGCATATGGAAAGGAAGCTGGCCAAGAACATCACAGGACAGTAACACCGAAACTCCATCCTCACCCCATTATGAAAGAAATATGTTTGCAATTTTTCTTATGACGGACAGCACTGGCCTGGCCGAACGCGTGCACGACTGCTCGTGACTCCAATTCAAGGCATGTGTCACTTCTATACCAGCTGATGACTTGAGACGGGTGCAGATAGCATGTCATGGAACCAGTGCCTGGTGACGGCCGCTGCCAGCAGTATCCTTTCAAGATAACGGACCTTACACTGCACGCTGCACTCTACAGGCTCAGTCCAAACCCTCAGCTGATGTTGAACTGAAGTCGACGAATGCCATCCGTCTCCCTCATCCGTCAACCGTCTCTGCAACTCCGGGACTCGGGGAGGTCGGCTAGCAAATTGGCAAAGGTCATCATTCAGGCATACCGGCATAGCTTAGTGTTGTTTTTATCTCGGTATAGATATACAGAAGCAAAACGAAGATGAAGATGAAGATGAAGATGTCATTGCCTAAAGCTAGAAATTAGGAAGGTGCCAAAGTCTAGACGGCTCAGCCAACTCCGAGGTAGAACCGTTTACTGAGTCCTGGCATTGCCTGGGGGCCGACACAGTGGGTGGGCCATTGACCTTAGGTGGCGGACCTGGTTCTCGTCGTCTTCAGCCTCTGCACGCACACTCTTTTATATGACGCCGCGTCCTGGTTACCACCATATACGGCCCATGCAGGATGAAAATCTTCTGCTTCATTAGGTTCTTCAGATTCATACGCCAATCACCTCAGATCACAAGTGATCTGTGCAAGGAGCAGTGAAAGGTCTTCGTCACTTATCAGCTATGCACGTATCAGCGCATGACTAGTCGCCCGTGGTCGAAAATGCAAAGTCGTAAATGATGTGCAATGTGCATTGTATCGGAACCTCTTACACTTAAGACGTGTACTCGTATCCTCACTGAAGAAATGGAATAGTAGGTACATGGTTGGTAGGCATGGAAAGAATCGACGCTTTGGAGTTTATGTTTTTGGATTAGAAGTTGATATTTTTGGGTAGAACACCCAGAGTTATTCTACCTTGTCTTATACGTGTATTACATCGTAGCCGTGAGCGATCAGGACGGAGTTTCTTGTGGAAGCATACGGTCAAAATGGTTCGATCGTTTTTTAATTACATGATTTGAAATCCATTCGAAGCCATGATCTGTGAGATGTATCCTGAGCTCATTTGCACAAACTTTAATTAAATGGACACAAAGAGCCTGTCATGAACAGAGACGTGGCAACTGAAAGGTCACATTTTAATTTGACCTCACAGGTCATCAAAGGTCACCATTACAACTCATGACCTTCAAGAGGCAGAAGTTTTCAAAAATGATTGCACACTGACCAGAATGATACCAAGAACAGGGGCAAAACATCCCGGGCCGGGATGTTTTGCTCCTGTTGTTGGTCGCCGGGATTCCCGGCGCTTTTCACCGAATGTTACAAATATCGACATCGTAATGATCGCTAGTAAAGCATTTAACCGGAACCACGTGATGGAGCACATCGATCGGGATGAGGAAATGAGCGCTCAATGACCCCTCTACCCGACTTTCAAAACAAAAACTTTGCCTTTAGTGCGATTTATTATCAGCGTCAAATAGGCATATTTCTAGATAAATACGCAAATTTCAATCTCAATTCGCGACCCCTAAATCACCTTTGATTTTAATATTTTTGGCATCATTGGAATCACAAGTCGCGAAATAATGGGAAAAACCACCCCCACCCACAAATTTCCAAAATCGGGAAAAATGGGTACCCCTAATGTCGGCTCGCATTAGCCGCGCGTTTGCAAGCTTTTCGTGGTTTCAAACGTTCAAACATGTGATTTGATGTTGCTCCCATGCATTAGGGTGGGTGTCAAGGTCACCTGAAGGTCAGGTCAGGTCATTGACCTTTGGTGACCTCGGGTGACCCCGGTTCACTTTTTCGAGTTTTACATGTTTCTAGGCTAGTTTTTGGAGCTGAATTCGAATTTAGCAACCATTTGAACATTTACGAAGTAGTTTTGGTGCCTTCGTAGCATGTTACGAAGCTATCCGAGGCGGTTGACACGTATTACGAATACCCGTCACAACCCCTACCGGTTGACCTGACCTGACCTGACCTGACCTGACCTGGTCTAAATGCTTAAAGACATCATCTCTGATCAAAACTAACACGATATTCGTGATCAGCACCCCGGAAAACCACATAGCAGCCACACTTTACGACTTTCTAACAGGTCCCGATTTTCCCGGTTTTCGGGTCATTGACCTGACCTGGAAGGTCACCCGATGACCTAGGACCTTAAAATTGGGTATCATCGGCTTCCTCTCGTGACGGGCAACACGCTCGTTTTTTCCGCGAAGCTCTAGCTCAATCAGGGGCCAAACGCGAGGGGGGGGGTCGTACCAACCCCCCCCCCCTTGTGCCGTCGAAGGACTCAAAATGACCTGTGCCGGCGAGGGTTAACCCTTGCCGTCCGAAGGGGGGGGGGTGCCCGCCCCCATAGGTTTTTTTCGCGATAGCTCCGAAAAACTGGCGATAAAGAGCTGAAACTTGGCATACGTGACCTTTGGCTCAAGCCGGATCTTTTGACCCTAACCTATTTTCGTGTCAAGTCAGGTCACTGACCTATGACGCCATAAGTGAACCTCTGCACGGTCTTCAGATGTCGCAACTTCGCAACGCCCTCAGTGCCAGAGGAGCTTTCACAGGGAGATTAAACTTACAGGACCTAGTATCCTCCAGAGGTCTCACAACTTGCATATCTCGGATTTTCTTTTTTTAAGGTCACATGAGGTCAGGTCGGTCGCGTGACCTCACCGTTATAAGTCAATGGGGAAAATGAAAACTGCTATTTTGGCGCCGGGAACGATATCAAACTATCTCAAACACAGAATTGTGGTTTCATGGACTCCTTGCAAGTTTCTATGTTTCACTTTTGCATTGCTGACTTTGCGTGACGTCACTAAGGCCATAAGAGTTTTTGTCAATAACTCCTGATCAAATTGAGCTTGCGAGTCGGAAAAGCCGCCAATGGACTCGGAAAGACCTGTCAAATCGAATGATATGCGACATGACCTCCTCCGACCAACTTCGTGACCTGGGGGCTCTGAACTGACCGTGACCCGAGGTCAACACCTCAAGTTGACCTCACCCAAACAAAAAGTAAACCATAAGCGCCTGAGCGAGGCGAACACCGTGGCGCCAAAATCGTGGCTCTATGGCCTTTTTTGGCGAAGGTATTTACCAAATACCGAACCAGAACCTTGGGCCACTTGACCTGACCTCAGAGGTCACCGGTTGACCTGAGACCTTAAAATCGGGTACCAGTTTCAGCGTCTCGTAACGGCATACACGCTTGTTTTTCCGCGACGCTCTAGCTCCATCAGGGGTGTAACGGCGAGGGGGATCGTACCAACCCACCCCCCCCTAGAAATGTATGTAAATGTATGTAAATGTATGTAGAAAACCAATAGGTCCGGCGAGGGTTAACTAATGCAATGGCCTTTACCGTAGCCGGAGCTGCCCAAAATGTCTAAGATTACAAAAATGTCCAGATGCTCACCAAATGCTTAAAATGCATTCCGCGGTCCGCATCCCTACTGGTAGCCAGCACTGTGCAGTTCTCCTGAGCCATCTCCATTTGACAGCATACGACCCGTCGGCGACCGATGCCACCCCCCGGGACGCCGAGCTGCGCATCGACCTCTTCTACCCCGGCAGCGGCACAAGGAGAACCATCTGGAAGGTGGAGGACCAGCAAAAAATACTGCCGCCAGTCCGACCCGCTGTCGAGGCAAGCACAGCGGCGAGCGATTCACAAACGATCGACTTGATAAGCGACAAAGTCGTGCATGGCTTTGCCCGAGGGGCGGCTTTGTCGTTGGGCGAAAGGAAAGCGTACTTTGATTTTCAATGATTTCCTCTGTGCTACGATATTTGAGTTCAGAAATGGTATCTTGTAGTCTCTGTTCGGTATTTTCGTCATTAATAGCTGATCAAAAAGGCAAGCAAATAACACATTTTATATCTTTCTAGTCGAGCGCATCGTGCGACTCAAGAACGAGCTGTAACGTGGCAGCAGCCGTCTCAAGGCTCTGCCACCAATGTCCTTCGGTGGCGCACTGGAAGTACGCTGCTGTCCGCATTCCGGTGTCTGCCGAGCCCTACCAGGTGCTGTATGCGTAGGTACTGTATGTACACATGACACATACACAGTACATACGCTCCTCTAGCTGTAACGAAGCATGTAGGTATTTGACTTGCATAGGGTAAGTGCAACCCTACCTGATCGCTGGTTGATACATACCTAGTCCTACAACAACTTGTCATCACATATATAAGCAATAAGCATTCAAAGATGTCATAAGTGCGCCTCAAATACATCTATATATAAGCATGTACAATGTACATACATGTTCAAAGACACCAGTAACGTATCAAAGGACGCACGGGATGAACACTTTACTAGCCCTTTGACGGTGGCGCAGATCGAAATCACCGGCCTGGATGGCAACACGGGCGACGTGGCGTTCGATCTCGTCAGCTTCGAGACGTTCGAGGTGTGCGCGCCCACCTGGGTTCCCTACTTCGGCGTCATCAACGACGTAAAGACGGTGAGTCGATGGGGCGACCAGCGGCCAACAGTGTCTGGCTCGTAGTCCGTGAAATGTCCGAGTTCTGGTTATTTTTTTATTACACACCTAACCAGATTTTAAAACGCTCACTTTTTTATTTCCTTTTCAGTCTCAGACAACTGACTCCATTGAGACCTGTGCAAAGAAATGCTTGAGAAGAGCCTCCTGTGATCTCTTTGGTTTCAACTACGACAGTGGCAGGTAAAACTGAGACACATCTTTGTCATTTTTCAAATAAACTATAATAAACATGAAAAAACGGACGAATTAACAGAGTCGGATACCACGGTAAGCCGAGCTCGTCCCGCAGGCACCGACTTCCGCCATCCGAAAGGCAACCCCATGTGACGGGACAATTAGGATGTCAGTTTATAATGCCCATCAAAGTCGGACAACTCCACTCAATTGCATTTAAAGGGACCTGACCTTAAAAAAACTAATGAATTCGCATTAAGGTGATGTCCCGTGGTTCAGAAAGATCAAAAAATGAATATCTACCAAATTTCATCGAAAAATATTCACTGGCTTTCAAGATAGTATGTAGATTTTAACTGTTTACTTTTTGGGATCTCCGCTGTTCCTACGACGTCGTTTGGAAGCAATCATTTGGCATCCCTGAAGTGCGGCAGATAATGCGCGCAAGGCAGCACATACCACCACGCTTTTACCGATGGTTTTGGTATTATATTTAAAAATCGTTAGATCTGCGCTGACGTCACAAATTCTAAGGGGGCATTCAAATGCATTAGCCCCTTAGAATCTAAAAACTGCAAGTTCGAAATCAAATATCTCCGAATTAAAGCAGTTCTCGATGTTGTAAGTGCCCAAACCGGTAAGTGCAAGCCAGGGACCCCAATATGGCTATCTCAACTCAAAAGTAATGTTAAGGTGGGATTGTTACGGGCGGCTGTGACCGCCCGTTGTGGCGTGCCTGGCGCCGCCCGTTGCGCCTCCCTGACTGGCCGCGCACGGCGCCGCCCCTGCCGCGTGGCCCTGGGGCGGGGTCAGCGGCTGGCCCTGGCTGGGCGGCCGGCGCGGCGGCCCGGGAGAAGCGGACGGGCTGCGGTGACGAGCGGTGAGCGCCGTTGTTCTTGTGTTGGCCTCGGCCGATAATATAGTGAAGCACCGAGTTAGAGTGTGATTGGCTCCCGCAACAGGATGGACTGGCTGCGGCTGCTCCCACCGGCCGCGGGCCATCCCCGTCAGGAGTCATATGCTTGAGCGATGGAACGTCATTTCTCAGGTTTTTTTTTTCTGGAAAATGCAATCGGAGACGCTGCCTTTCACGCTGGATTTATTACACAAGTTATTATTGTGTAAATCAGATCCTCAGGCAGATCCAGTTGGGATATATCAGAATCATAGACTAATAAATAGCTTTTATTACAATACGCCAGAATTGTTGACTGTAAGGACAGAACGCGCCAAACGCGCTTTTCCATGATTCAGGATCGTTAATTCGTTCAGTGGACGTTACAATTATGAGGAATTCGTGTGGCTTCAAAATATACAAGAGGAAACAAATATGTAGGCATTTACCCTCGCGGGCCCGAGGGGGGGGCGTTTTTCGCCCCCCCCCCCTATATATATAATATTTGCGATAGCTCCCGAACGCTTAGGGATAGGAAAGCGAAACTTTCAGTACCTTTTCTCCCATCAATTTGACATCTTCTGAAGTAAAAACTTGGACCTAGTCCCCTTGATGACGTCACAGGGTCGATTTTTCTAGGCCCCTACACGGCAAACTTCGGCGTCACAGACGCGACTTCAAATAGCTGCTAAAAATAGAGTTTTTGAGATAAATACAAATTACGAGCACGGTTGTGTAGCGTTTGACCCAGAGAAAAATAGAAAAATATTTTTGGTGACCTGAGGTTAGAGGTCAGGTCAACAACCCCGAAATGTGGTTTTAGTTGTTCGCCAAAAAAACTTCGACATAAATGGACCTAGAGCTACGGCAGTGGTATACCATCGCATTTGCCTAGTCAAGCCGCGTCGAATGATATATATTTTGTTAGGAAAAGGTCAAGCTTTATGTTGACCTCATGTGACTTCGAATGACCTTTGTCTGACCTTGACATATTAAAGATCGTTTATGATATATTCGTACCCGCTGATCACGAATCTGGCATCTATTTTCCTCTTATCCTTCATTTAGAGGCTCCGGATGGCAAAACTGTCTTATTTATTATTACTAACTTGAATCAGAGAAATAGCCTCTATCAAGGATACTCTTCTGTGACCTTGACCTTTGAGCAGCCTTGTATCGTAAGATGAACCACAAATAGGGACCTGATAAGCCTCAAAACATTTCAAAACATCTTGGAAATTAGAACGCAAGATGTACGTAAAAGTGGTAAGTGTCAGGTTAATTTTGAGCATGACCTTGACTTTGACCTTTAATTTTGAGCACATTTTCGGAATCCTCGGACTCTCTTCTTTTGTTTGACACCCAATTTTGCCGGTTTTATGCATCCTTCCGTCCTCTAGAACGCTCACTTTTAGATCACTACACATGTGCCGGTTTTTGCCTTTGACCTTGACCTCTGACCTTGAAAATTGACCTGAGGTCAAAAATGTTAGGTGCTTTAGAGTCGTCTCGTAAGGACCTTTCGTTTGGTATCGCTTTTGTTTCCGTAGCTTCCTTATTTACGGAGTTAGACGGGGGGGGGGGGCGAAACACCCCCCCAGGCTGCGATGGTTGGGATTACCCCCCGGGCCCGGCCGGGTTAACCCGCGACCGCCTGGGGGGAGTCGGATCCAACCTCCCTCCGTTTTTCTTGAATAACTCATGAACCGCTTACGCTGTCAACTTGAAACTTTGCATACCTTCTCCCCATCAATTTGACGTCTCCTGTGCAATTTTTAAGATTTTTTTTCCAATTGTTTTTTAGATATATCGATTTTAGTGATGTAACTACATGGCGTTTTCAATCAAAAAGTGGTAAATGTTTAAAAAATCGCCAAAAATCAAGGTTTAAAGCAAACTGCAAATTAAGGATATGAATAGACGCATCTCCACGTGTTCTTTAAAATGGCTATCTCGGATTTTCCATAAAATGCGTTTTTAACCCCTAAAAATTCAAAAAAACTATTTTTTTAACAGCTTATAAAATCCAAAACTTTAAGAATTTCCAAAAAAAAACGGAATATATGTTAAGCTCTATTAGAACGTTAGATATCCCAACTTTCAACTTTCTATCTTGATTTTTGACCCCCAAATTGTAAAAAATAGCTCCAACATACATAGGGCATGGTGACGTCATAAGCATTTTCCTGAATTAGAGGCACTTCTAAACATCGCATGTGAAAACAAATGGCACCACTAGATTTGTGGGACAAAGTTCGTCTAGAAAAGTGCATATTTATGTCAAAAATAAAAAGTTGAAAAATTGACTTTTTTCTTTGCCCTCGTTTAGTTATGTAAGGTATAAACGATTTGTTATGCTTTCATTGCACACTTATCACCAGCACAGTGACTTGGGGTCACATATAACCATTACCATCGGATTTGGCGTGAAAAAATAAGCCATAAAACATATGTCGCACGCCCATGTAGCAAAAAGTGAAAACCGTGACCTTTCGTGACCTGACCTGACCTTGACCCGTAGGTACTTAGTATGACCCCCATACGCACATGGTACCTTCACTAGGTCTTTGAGGTCATTTTTGGTGAGTTTCGAGCAGCAGCTATCGATTCCGCTGTCCGTAAGCCTAATCATGCAAAACCCCAGAATTTGACCTTTGACCTGACCTTGACCCGAAAGTTGACCTCAATCTTAAAATCTTAAGAGTGCTTTGGGAAGGTGTCGTAGAGACCTTTCGAACGCCGCCTCGCAGGGCTCGATACGACCATTGGTTCTCAGAGATAACAGGGATAAATCTTAACAGGGTCGGATCCGACCCCCCCCCCCCCCCCGGCTGTCGTGGGTACGGAAATAGCCCAGGCGGTGCCGGGTTAAGAAAGCAGTAGATGCTTTTTAAGCTTTGTAATGGTGGACCCAAGGGTGATGCGTGATAAGGTGATGCCCGGCAGGCGGTGGGCCTCCCGGCCACCTTCCGCGCGGTGGGGGGCATTTTTTTGCCCCCCCCCCGTATCTCCGAAAGACCGAAACTACTGGACGGATCCGGAAAATTCAAACGGCGTTCGATAGCCCTGTCAAATTTGTTTAAAACAACCAAATTTCATTGACCTCGGGGTCACCGATGACGTCACAGGTCAGGTCAAAGATAAAATGTTTCACCGTTCACGGTGTTCTAGGGAAAGCGCTATAACACCGAGTAAAACGCATTTTGTCGAAAATCAGCGATAGGGCGTCAGTTGTCTAGTACATATGTTGCTATTAGAGGCCACTGGTCATGCCAGGTCATGTCACAGGTCAGGTCACCAAGGAAGGGTCACCACATGAAGTATGAACCCAACTTTACTAAGGTTGTGCGATGTATGTTTTATGGCCAATTTTTCATTCCCAACTCAATGGTGTCGGTTATAAGACCATCAGGTACGGTTTAGGTCACTTTCTGGTGGAGGTCAGGTCAAGGTCAGGTAAAAAAGGTCAAATTTCAAAGTTGATAGTTTTGCATAAAATGGGTATTGATTCGATGCAGCTCGTCACGGGGAGTCTAATGGTGGTCTTTGTTTTGCGCTACGAGGTCTAGAATGGCTAAAAATGAGTTTAAAAATTTAACGTCATCAATTTTGAACAGTTTTTTTCGCTATAACTCGGCCAAAAAAGAGGTATCGATCTCAAATTTAATATGTAGATAGAAGGCGGTAGGGACGATCACATATATTCCGTTTTTTTCGAAATTCAAAATACTTTTTGGATTTTTCGGCCATTATATAAAAAATCTATTTTTTGATTTTTTTGGGGATCAAAATCCAAAAATTTCAAAAATCCAAGATAGCGGTTTTGTAGCCCTCTTAATTCTACACATTTTATATTGAAACATTTTTCTGTATCTCTAAAGCTGTAGGCCTGACAGCTCTTCCCGCGAAACCCTTTTTTGGGTCGAAAATGGCAGAAATGACGTTACTCTGACGTCACTAGCGACCAACCTATCATAGCCTTTGGAAAATTTTGGTAACAATGTGCAATAGCTATTCACGGGAGGGTACTGAAAGTTTGGTGACGATCGGCGCAGCGGTTTGGGAGATATATCGAAAAAACTAAAGGGGGGGGGGGCAAAAAAAGCCCCCCCACACACACACACCGCCTCGAAGGTTAAAACACATTTACTCCGCAGCGTCCCAAACGAGCGAAAGCTGCTGTTTTCCTCATAAAAAAATAAACACCGCTCCGGGCTGGGGGTGCAAAAATCTAAATAAAGAAAACTGTTGAGATTAGATGAATGTTCTGCAGGCACTCTAGTCAAACTCTAGTTACCCATGCCGAAATTTGGGCGTTTGATATGTTATTTTTATTTTTCGCAGATGTGATATGCGCCAGAAGTCCACAAAGGAAACGTCAGCGAATCCAAACGACATGTGTTGGCCATCTGAACATCCTCGAACAACCACTTACGAGCTTAATTGTCTGGGACCAGGTAAAACATCAAATTTTACTCTGCGTATTATTGATTGGAGATGCAACATTGCAATATCGTTTGAGCTCATCGTCGCTATCGTACCCCTCGTTCTCTGCGTTATTATTCTGAGGAGCCCGCGACCGGAAAGAGTTAATGCTTAAGTCTCAGGCTGCAATTAAACGCTTTTATTAAATGGGCTTTGTGACCGGAGGAAGGTCAGCTCATGTCCACAAGCCGCTGACAATGGCCTTTCTCCGGCAGCGGCCACGTACGACTTTCTCCTGGACTCGGACGGCGACTACTTCCAGGGCGCCTGGCGCTGGCACAACTGCATCGACAACGGCACCTGCACAGACTTTGAAAACCTCGGAGAGCGGATCAGACTGGATCCAACAGACAGACTGCACAAGCCTGCCATCACTGAAGGCTTCGGCTACTTCTTCTCGGCAGCTACATTGAAGGCTCAGACCCCGTTCAGAAGGTATGCGCAAAAAAGCCCCCTAATAAGCGTGACGATAATGGGCAAAAAGCTTGTATCTGGGTGTTTTATTTCGTAAATTGACAGCTGCCACTCAGAAAGTGAGCGTCTAAATGGCACTAGCAACAATGGGAAAACGATCCGCTTTTAAACGACATACATAAAATAAAACTTTGCACGAAACCATTAACAATGTTCTTTTCATATCCACAGAGACCAAGATGTTCATGTGATCCACACACTACCGGCAGCTTATTTGGAAGCTTTCAAGCCGCATGGAACTATGCACGCTTGGTAAGGATACAGAAAGGTGCTGTCAGGTATATGATAGGAGATCGACAGTTTTCAGCCTCCATTTAAAAACGGTGTTCAGGTTTCAGAAGATGCCAAATACAAAATTGTCGCACTTCGACAGCCATCTTGAATTCGTTGGTTCTGTTGGCACCTATAGCGAATGGAATGGTTTATAGTTAATTCCATTCAAGGTCTATATGAAATCGTCCCATGGCATGAGCCATCGGTCCAGCAGCGGGTCATGGCCGCCATGTCGGCCCCGGGCAAGGAGCAGAACGACAATCGGCAGAGAGAGAAGGAGAGAGAGAGAGAGAGAGAGAGAGAGAGAGAGAGAGAGAGAGAGAGAGAGAGAGAGAGAGAGAGAGAGAGAGAGAGAGAGAAACAGAGACAGAGTGAGAGTGAGAGTGAGAGTGAGTGAGAGAGAGAGAGAGAGAGAGAGAGAGAGAGAGAGAGAGAGAGAGAGAGAGAGAGAGAGAGAGAGAGAGAGAGAGAGAGAGAGAGAGAGAAACAGAGACAGAGTGAGAGTGAGAGTGAGAGAGTGAGAAAGGCACTGCCTGGCCGCAGCCAAGCGTGGCACCCACACATTATTTCGTTCCATTGCTGTGACATCTGTTATCATAACTGAACATTGATTTTAATTGCGAAAGACGCTTTTATATGGCTATGTTGCAGGCACTTTAGAAAATCAGTCATTTTGTAAAATGCCTAGGCATTTTACAAAAAGACGGCTGTTTGAAAAATGACTGAACGCAACCAGGCTTTTTTCAAAATGGCTAGCCATTTTACAAAATGACTAGGCATTTTGCAAAATGCCTGACCAGCATGGAACGTAGATCCCACTACAGATACTATGGCCAACAGTTTTTGGACGTCTTCCTATACCCTATAGGTACGTGTTCAGCCTGTAGCTGATCGATTTGAAGCTCTGTGATGACGACAATGGTCTTTTCACGTCAGTTCCGTGCAAAATACATTAACGCTTGGCGTTAGAGGTGCAACCGGCCCCCCGTTTCCTGGAGGTGCCCGGCATATGAGGGAGCCGGCCACAGAGGGTGCGGGCGCCAATTGGAGGCTAGATAAGCGCCAGCGGTCGGGTAAGCAAACACAGCCCGCCCGGCCTGGCGAGGACACTGCGCCGGCCGCCGGGCGCCTCCAGTGCGTGAGTGGCACGTCAGACGGCGGCCGCTCATGTTTTTGTTTTTTTTTCTTTCTTATTTTTCCTTTGTCTCCTTCCGTCAACTCCGGCGTCTTTCAGCTAGGGAGAGCTGGAACACACGCAATAGGAGCTGGCGGATGTCGAGGCCGCACTACGCCATGACGACAATGCTGAGTAACGACCAGGTTGAGTTGCAGACTCGGCTGTAGCATAAAGCATTGTTTAGTTAACGCTGTAAAAACTCCCAAGTACATCAACGCCGTTCATGTTCTGCCTGAAACTAGACCTAACAAAGCCAGCCGGAGACCGGCCCTGTCAATAGGCAGGCCCGGTTGATGTACAATTACATGTAAACGAATGAGTGTAGTCTTTGTTTGATTGTGTCTTTGTTTGACAGCTTTGAGTACCTACTTGCATGGTCCCAGTTAAAAATATCAAGCTCCACATCGGGAGAATCATCAGGTCGCTTGGCGTAGGACGAGAGCGTTGGTTTCAGAAGACACTAATGCCTAAGTGTGTGGGATCGAATCCTCGCGACCTCTAATGGTTTTACAGATATACAGGCCGGCATAGGGCCAGTCGTTTGTTGACGCTCCAGATCGATCATTTTAAATCCAGCAGCGTCGCTGACGTGGGGGTTGGAAATGTCGCGGGCCTGCACTTCTCAAAATAGAGAGAGGTAGGTATGGACTTCCCACTCCTGGACTCCTCTGGTCATAATGCTGGACTCCTCGGTCCACCTACACGCTACCAAAACGTATATAATTAGGTACTCGTATCTACAACACGCTGCTCAGTCATTTTGTAAAATGGCTAGGTATTTTGTAAAATGCCTAGGCATTTTGCAAAATGACTGGAGAGTCAGTCATTTTGTAAAATGCCTAGGCTTTTTGCAAAAAGCCTGGAAAATCAGGCATTTTGCAAAATGCCTAGGCATTTTACAAAATGACTGATTTTCTAAAGTGCCTGCAACAGCTAGGTATACCAAGGCTTAGACTACACGTTCTCTTTCATTTGCAGCTGAGTTGAGCCATACACCTTATGAGGGTATATTTGTATGCAAGATTAACGTAGAATAGTGGAAACAGAGGAATTGATGGAAATCTCCTAAACATTTTTTACGAAGTCGAGGATTGTGAGAATCGTGCGGCGATAATATAGTTCATAGCTAGGTGTAACTAACTGATGCTGAACTATGCTGCATTATCAGTTTATCTGGGCTGGACACTGGACAGAGGCTGCCAATCTATGTGTAATATGCATCCCCTCTCTGCCTCTCCCTCCCTCTGTCATTCTCTTGACTCGCGGCGTCACACCGGTCTGTTTACAGGTGTAGCAATGAGGGCAGCACTCCGGCCTCGTTCACCATGCAGCTGTTCACTCTCTCTGACACCAATGCAGAGACCAAGGTGGCCGAGGCGGCAGCGGACTGCACCGATCAGGAAATACGCCGCCTCTTCTACGAGCCATTTGTCGTCGACGGCACATTCGCTCGCCTGAGGTAAGGTGCTGTGACTAAGAGGCAAGCAGCGACCTATTGGGAGACATATCCGCCAAATACAAGCTGCACATGTATGCCATATATAACACCTAAGCCTAACATTGTACAATGTACATGATATGGCGATTGAACTCACTACTGGCGCAATTTTTAACCCTGACAGGACTATTTATAAGCACAATAGGTATTATAAATAAACCTGCAATGGCGTACCTGATTACGATCCCCGAATTAGTTTGTACGTGCACGACAGAATGGAACAGACCACGCTTATAGGTAAGTACAATGAAGTACGGCACTGGTCAAAGTCAGTTTCAAAGATGGCCGGAAATGTTTAACCCTATTCCTGGCGGGGGGGCCTCAGGAGCCCCCCCTGAGGTTTTTTGGTTATATCTCCCAAACGCGTTGAGCTAGGAAGCTCAAATTTTCTGACTTTTCCTAAAAGACTTCTACGCAACATGTCTGAAAATTTTGAGTTGATCTGACCTCAGGTCAGGTCACCAGAGGCGGTTTGGTGACGCTACCTCAGAAAAGTTTGCAATCACGCCAGAGCTAGAGTTTTTGACCGATCAATCTCTTCTCTTCAGGGTTTAGTTAGGGTACCAGTATGTGCAATTTGTATATCTCGGAATTTTGATATCGGTGACCTAAGGTCAGGTCAATTTCGCGACCTCCCCATTATAAGTCAATGGGGGAAAAATCAACTCCCTGTTTTTACCACTAAAACGGGTCGGAATGGCCCCATATACCATACATGACTTCATATACGATCAACCTTCACTACCTTGAGGTCTGTTTTGCTGTTGGGCAGCTGTGAGGTCATGTGACGTCATCAAAGGTCACCAAAGGTTTTTGGCCAATAACTCCGTACAGGAACAAGATACAGACGCGTGGATGGTCTCATTGTGTTCAGCTCGTCAAGACGCATCGAATGATATGCATGATGACCTCGAGGTCACGTGACCTGAGGTCAACCTTTGACCTTGACCTTTCGAGGTCAACATATATATCATTCGATGCGGATTGACGAGAGGATCACGATGATGCCCTTAGTTTGTTCCTATCTTGACTAATTCGAAAGTTATTCGAGAAAAACTCTCTCCATATCTAGTGCCGCCATTTTGACTTTTTCGACCCCTGTGACGTCATCTTTGACCTGACCTGAAAATGACCTTAGTAAAAATTGTAGATCTTGGCCGTGCGTATCCGATGCCGTTTACCGCTTGTCGCTATCTTGCTTCGTTCTCGAGATCTCAGGGGGGGGGGGCCGAATCGGCCCCCCCGCCAGTTTCTTGTCCCGGCGGAGCCCGCCAGGAATAGGGTTAAATGTTTATCGACACTCCAGATTCATCTCGTTATTTTTTTTTCAGGGTGAGAGAACTGTTGCGAACCACGGCAACCAGCGACTATGATAGCAACGCCGCTGTCACCGGTCAGCGCCTCATGATCGGTAAGAGAATGCATTCTACTATTTGAGTATCAAGCCTTTTCAGAATTAGGTACCACCATCTCATAAAAGACATTATTCACGTATGTTTTGAGTTTTCGGTGCAGTATCTATCCAATTGGTTAAAAAATACAAATGTGTGAAACAACTAGCTACATTTGGACGTTCATACTTCATGTTCAGAACGGCTGGGCCGCTTGCGCTCAAATTTGATTCACGGTTAGGGACCAGCGAGAAGGATGTCGTGCAGAAGCCATTAGAAATCCAGTTTGCACGTGCGCACGTGCAGGGTGTCGCTTTCACATTTTTAAACGAGCTAGACCGAGTACGCTCAAATTTCGCACACCGTTTAACCCTCGCCCATGTAGGGGGGGGGGGGGGGTTGGTGCAACCGCCCCCCTGAGGTTTTTCTTAGCTACACGCCGAACCGTTTCAGATAGCCTGCTCAAATTTTCGGTACCCTATGGGGCATCCTTTGCGCAACTTTTGGCATTTTTTGTCAAGGTCATGTCAGGTGACGGAGTTATGACGTCATAAAGGGAACAACCTCCGGCCAGATTTACGCTAAATTGGAGATTGCTTCACATTGGTATAAATGCCGACTGACCTCACACACTGATGGATTGTTTTAGAATCACAACTGGCTGATTTGACATTGGCACAATGTCCGTTGACATTTTTAAGGTCACTAAAGGTCAAGGTAAGGTCAGTGACCTCGGTTGACCTGTAATGACTTCTTGCACTTGTATGCCTTTTCGGGGTATTTTGATGCCCTGAATTCGAATTTGCTATCTATTTTAGGCATCGTCGGCTGCTTCTTGTAGTTCATTTTGTGTCAGGGTCAGGTCAGTGACGTCACACGCCTGACGTGACCCAATGCACAAATGACCTTGCTGACTTCCGATGCTCCCAACGCATCATTTTTAGAGTTATGACATCGAAATACACACCAAACGATAGAGAATTGATCAAGGATCACGATAGTGCAGGTTTCAAGTCGATATCTCTTACCGTTTTGCCGCAATCGGCGCGGAAATCTGAAAAGGTTAGATTTTTCCGAAAATTTGACCTTTGACCGGTCATAAGTAGGTCAAATGTTGACCTAGGACCAAAAAATATACCACCAATCGCGAGATCTCGTTGAGAGCAATCCGTTGGTCTTTTCCGCTAAGCTCTGCGACGCTCCGTTTTCAAACGCCAGGGGGGGGGGTCGCACCAACCCCCCCCCCTGCATGGGCGAAGGTGGCAAAACACTGTTTACGGGCGAGGGTTAAGAGACCGGCTGGTAGGGTGCCGTGTACAGTGCACACTGTACAGGTCAGTTAGAAGCATCCCCTCGCACTCCAGCATGTGCGAACCTCACTCTCGCTAGTTCGTCACTCCAAAGAGCGTCTAATTCATGTGTGCGAATAGTGTGCAAAATCGTAGTGTGTAAATGTATCCTCCCCGTTGGACTGCAGTGCGCCGCGGCTGTCCCAGCTCAGTGAGCCGGCCTGCAGCGGTGCACGGAGCGGCTTCCTGACGACCCTCCCCGACCGGCAGACGTGCCCCTGGGCATCGGCTGCTTCTCGGGCCTGCCGCCGCCGGCCGACGCTCAGGACGTGGACACCAACGACGTGCCGACGTGCCTGGTCCGCTGCCACGGACTCGGAAAGCCGGTGGCTGGTGAGTTAGACATCGCCGACGCTCCATTCAAGATACGCGGTAACATCAGCCGCCACAGTTAATCCAGAGTTAGCCTGTGTTTAGAATATCACGCTTCTAGTCTGAAAGTTTGGCAGTTTGGCGATGGAATGCTTGCTACAGTGTAAGAGGGTATCTTAACTGTTGCTACGTGATGCTATCTCAAATAAATGTATAATACACTTCCATTAGCCATAGGATCGAATTGCCTCGGGCAAATAATGATTTCCATTGAGTTAGTTTTGGATAAGTGTTTCGGTTGATAATCTAGTCCAGCAGACAAGGGGTGATGTTTCTCTGGCCTGTCTCGGTGCTCTGAGCCGCGTGTGTCTGCAGCGCTGCGCGGTGCCAGCTGCGCCTGCCTGGATCAGATGCCGTACGCCAGTCTGCGACCCTCACGGTCCTGTCACACACCCTGCCACGGGGAGCGCTGGATGTGTGGCGGCCAGGACGAGCACAGCTTCTACACCGCCAGTGAGTCATGCCCAGACGTGAGACGCCCCCGCCGCCGCAGCTCAGCCGGCCAGTGTTGAGCAAAAGACTAGTATGTGGCTCCTCTCAGAGTTTGTAGCTGTAAACAAGCTAAATCCATACCAAAGCTGTCATTTCCGCCACCAACCGCCAGCCGACTAGCTCTCATCCAACACAAAAGCGCCTGCCAAGACATTAAAATCAATAATCCACATAAAACTCCTTTCCTATAACTGTCACCAGTACCGCTGTCGAACCCCCGCCGTCAGCGCTGACCCGCCTCGCCCTCAGGCTGTCCCGACGGCTGGCAGCGCGTCGGGCACTTCTGCTACAAGAAGTTCGCCGACGCGGCAGCTGACACGGCTCGAAAGGCGCACGCGCTGTGTTCAATGAATAACGCCGAGCTCTTCAACCCCCGCTGGTCGTACGACTACAATATGGCATCCAAGTTGCTAGTGTGAGTGAACAAACATGCTTTAGCTGGCAATTTCTGAGATGGTCGTCTTCATTTCATCCCGCTCCATCTTCTCTTCAGTAGGCACTAGGCATGTTCACGTTTCATGTTCACCTTTTTCATAATTTATATTTATAACTCCTTCTAAACATGTTGGTGAAGTTCCCAATTCAGTGTTCGTTTAACCCGCGCGTGACTGGGGGGGGGGGGGGGGGGCTCTACAAAGCCCCTCCGGTTCTTCGGCAATATCTTCTAAACCGTTTGAGGAATCAGCACGAAACTTGCGGTACCCTCAGCGGTATTAATTTGACACCTTTGGTTAAAAATTTCAACTTTCTAGATACCATAGTTTGGCCGGAAATAACGTCAGAGTGACGTCATGTCGATCGATTTTGATGCAAAATATTGTATTACGGCAAACGCTCTCAACCCAGTAAACATGCCGACGTCGGCCCGACGTCGGCCGACGTCGGGGTGACGTCGGCAACTCGGCATCAGCATGCCGACGTCGGCCCGACGTCGGTCCAACCTCGGCACGACGTCGGCTGGATGTCGTATATGCCCGCATGTTCCGACGTCCAGCCGAGGTCCAGCCGACGTCGGGCCGACGTCGGACCGAGATCAATTGCTGAGATCCAGCCGACGTCGGGCCGACGTCCGACATCGGCCGCAGTTTTGACCGTTAAAATGATATAAAATACATGTTTCATGTTTCATAAAGAGCTTCTGTATTCAAAATATCCTCAGGAAACTCAAATCTTCCTCCACGCCGCAACCCCCTGATCCGGACTGGACGGGAAACTTTATCCCATTTGGGATTGCCCTTGCCCGTAAGCCGAGCTCGCCCGTAACCGGGTGCGGTGAGTGCTTGGGGGCTGCTCGGCCTATCCTTTGGTCAGGCTCAGCCCCGGCAACTCACCAGGGCCGGGCCCAGTTCATATAGAAAGGCCAGTCGGCAAGTGTCACTTTGTCAAAGTGCCACTTATCAAAGGGACACTTTGGGAAACGTTGGTGCAGGTGTGTAAGAGTGGCTATATGAACCCATTGTGGGGTCGCCCTTTCCAATAAGTGTCACGTAACAGCAATGGGACCAGGGGCTCTATATGAACTGGAGTCTGGACCCAGGGTGCTCGCCAAGAAGACCAATGTCTCCATCCTATGATCTTTCCGGCTCTGAAATGGTCTTGTCAGACCGAAAGGGCATAACTTAACAAAACAAACCTAATTCGATAGCTGGCTGCGTGGTGTAGTGGTTAGCGCACTAACCTCGCGTTCGAATGACGCCGGGTTCGAATCCCTTCGCCGGCTGGTGATTTTGGCGTGTTGTCCCAGTAAACATGCCGACGTCGGCGACTGGGGGGCTCGAATCCCGCCGCCGGTTGATATTTTTGGCGCGTTGTCCCAATAAACATGCCGACGTCGGCCCCGTCGGTCCAACGACTAACGATCTCGTCAACCTCGGCAAACGATCTCGGCCCGACGTCGGCTCGACGTCGGCTAGACTTCGGCTGGACGTCGGAACATGCGGGCATATCCGACGTCCAGCCGATGTCGGGACGAGGTTGAACCGACGTTGGGCCGACGTCGGGCCGAGGCTCGGCCCGACGTCGGGCCGACGTCGTCATGTTTACTGGGAAGAGCTCAGTTTTAAAGCTAAATCCAATTTATTTGCATGAGTGGACTACAAATATACGTAGCTATCAAACTGTTATATCGAATTTTCGAAATCTTGAACATTTCTAAAAGTATGTATTTACAATTACAAAAAAAATATGTTTTTGATTTTTCAAACATTTTTTTGATTTTTCGAAAAACCCGGAATATATGTGATAGAACACATACTGATAAACTACTCTAGCAAGTTTTAGCCCAATATCTTCCAAAATTGCCAAGTTATTTGCATTATTGTAAAAAATTACAATTACCTATGTATTTTTCAAAACCATTTTTCAGTACGTTTTTGACATCGTACAGCAATATAAATGGCACCAATCCTGTTGCTGAGCTCAACTTGCATCTGATAGGTACCTTTTTTTGATGAAAAAGAAAATCATTATCAATTTTTCCTTTTCTGACCTGAAAGTGACCTGAACTCCGGTAAACTCAGCTGAAAATGATCTCACACGACACAGAAGACATTGTTTTCGAAATCTATGAGTAAAATGGACTATAAAGCATGCGGCACGTGACCGATAAATGATGTACAATTTTCGTGACCTAGGATGACCTGGCCTTGACCTGAAAAATTAGAAGTAGGAGTTCGGTACCCTCAGGGTATCAAAGGCATATATCAAGGATTGCGTAAACCAAAAATGGCCTGATCGGACTTGTCAACCGGCGGTGAGAGCCTAAACTGTGAACAAGCAAAAATGCTGATAATTTTTACTTTGACCTGACTTGTGACGTCATCGGTGACCTCGAAGTCAATGCAAATAGATTCGCTCGACAGTTTTTCTAGGGCTATCAGACGCCCTTTGAATTTTGACGATCGGCGGTCGGCCCAGTAGTTTCGGAGCTAGGAGGGGAAGGGGGCTCTGGAGAGCCCCCCCCGTCACTCGCGTTATGGAAAATACCCCAGTCATGCGCGGGTTAACCCTCGCCGGCACAGGGGGGGAGGTGATGCAACCCCCCTAAGGGTTTTCGCGAATAACTCGCGTGAAAAGCGGCCGATCGCGACGAAACTTTCAGTACCCTTGCATTTATCAATTTTACACCTACCCTGAAAATTTCATGACCCTGACCCAAATGACCTTTGACCTGTGACCTCTTTTCCGAGACCATGTTTGGCCGGAATCGCGATTCGGCGTATGTCGGCTCGCATTAGCCGCGTGTTTGCAAGCTTTTCGTGGTTTCAAACGTTCAAACATCAAACATGTAATTTGATGTTGCTCCCATGCATTAGGGTGGGTGTCAATATCACATGAAGGTCAGGTCAGGTCATTGACCTTTGGTAACCTCGGTTCACTTTTTTTGAGTTTTACATGTTTCTAGGCTAGTTTTTTGAGCTGAATTCGAATTTAGCAACCATTTGAACATTTACGAAGTAGTTATGGTGCCTTCGTAACATGTTACGAAGCTGTCAGAGGCGGATGATAGGTACTACGAATACCCGTCACGACCCCTATCGGTTGACCTGACCTGACCTGACCCGACCTGGTCTAAACGCTTAACGACATCATCTGTGATCAAAACTAACACGATATTCGTGATCGGCACCCCGAAAACCCCTTAGCATAGCAGCCACACTTTACGACTTTCTAACAGGTCCCGATATTCCCGATTTTTGGGTCATTGACCTGACCTGGAAGGTCAACCGATGACCTAGGACCTTAAAATTGGGTATCATTGGCTTCCTCTCGTGACGGGCAACACGCTCGTTTTTTTCCGCGAAGCTCTAGCTCCATCAGGGGCCAAACGCGAGGGGGGGGGGGGGGGGGGGGTCGTACCAACCCTTGCGCCGTCGAAGGACTCAAAATGGCCTGTGCCGGCGAGGGTTAAGTCACCGAAATTGAATTATACCGATATTGCGCTAAGTGGCTGTGCATTAAAGACCACCATGCCGTCAGAGCGCAGGAAACACCAGGAATATCGATAATGGACGGGGAGAGCTGCTTAGCAACGGGGTGGGACCTGAGCTGACCTGAACAGGATGTCAGTTCTCAGTTGGCTGGAATAGAATAACACTACGAGCGTAGCTGAATGACATGACCTCTATTCTCAGCTCTGACGGTGCCAGTGCCTTCCTGGGTTTCAAGATCATCAGGAACCCCGCTGCCGTGTACACCTTCAGTGGGGAGTTGATGACCGATTTCGAGGAGATTAAAAGCCTGACCAAGCTGGGGGCCGACGCCGACTGCGTGGAGGTGGCCCGCAGCGGCACCACGCTGACCGCCTCGGGCGCCTGCACCGCCTCCGCAGAGGTCATCTGCCAGCAGCCTCTGGGTCAGTACGGCCGGGACGGAGCGGCGCCTGCAGACCCGACTGGCCAGCTGACACAGTCCGCCTGGCGTGTACCTATATGTTTATACACGCCAGACAGACAGTGGGATACATCCCAACCCAACCCGACAGACTTTGATAAGTTGTAACATGTATTTACGTAGTTATCTTATTCCCACGCTCGTATATAACATAATATGCTGCCTCTGAACAAACACAGGAGAAATACAGGTGCATAAGGAATGCAATCGGACGTGATCATGTTTATCATGTAGCTATGTCACATATTCATTATTCATTTCTTGTTGCATTCACACACCTCGCGAATGCACACCGGTAAATACCTATGATAGGGCGGCGTGTGACCGGCCATCGTGGTGTCGGCAGTGCGCGGCTGGGGCACGCAGGAGATCGCCGAGACGGACGACCTGGTGATGCGGACAGCCTCCAGCGGCAGCGACGTGTTCGCTCACCCGTCCCAGTGGTGGAGCCCGGCTGCCGACGACACCTCCCCGCGCCTCGTGGTGGGTGGCAGTCGCAAACACCGCATGCGGCCGATTGTCGAAATGACAGTGCATTGTTGAGCCAATGATTTTTTTTTCGAAAACAAAAGTAAGCTCTCCACAAAGCACGTACAATGTAAGTACATACATACATTGTACATTTCGACGGTATTCTAAGCAAATCTCTAATAGGATTGCAGGTAAAAATGAGCCTCACTTATATTTTAGCGCTCTACAGAACTACAAAGTAGTTCAGGTCAGATTCATAACATTAGTTTTGGTGCTGCCAATTATTCATGGTGTATGTACCTATGTTGCGACCCGTGACACTTTAATAGCTATATATTGTTACAGTGGGAATTTTCTCGTCAAGTAATGGTCTCCGGATTCAAGATATCCAGCAAATCCGACAAACTGATGGAAAGCTTTTTCTTAAAGTACAAAGAAGATTACCTGAGCAACGATACTGAGCGATTCTACGCGACTTCAGAGGCAGGGGACATTTATGTAAGTTGGGTTCCTCCTTAAATTCCGGGCACTGAAAGGAAGTATAGATAGGGTCATGAGAACGAGTATTCATTCAAAATTGTTGTTACGTGACGCAATACGGATGGACCCACGAGTTGATCATTTCTATTTCTCTTCATAACTTCCTGATTGATTCCTGATTTCTTTTCTAAAATTGCTTTCAGGAGTTTAACATCACCAGCGGGCTCCAGCTGAGCGGCGAGTTCACGGCGCACATTCACCTGGCCTACCCGAAGGTGTCCAACTGGTTCGCGCTGCTGCCGTCGCGGTACGTCGCCGGCGCAGAGGTCAAGGTCACGCTGCTCGGCTCCACTGCCAGCGAGAGCGTCACTGTCTCCGAACGGCCGGGCGTGGCCGGTTCAGGTGCATATCCCAACCCTCCTCACACAGCTCTATCATCGAGCTATCCAATGTGCACAGTGTGCCAGCTATCATGGCGTATTTTTCACGAATCCAGTAGTTGATTAGATTGTTTTCTGTTGTAAATGACGACATAATATTGGTGTGTGGCTGTGTGCTCAAAATAGGATAACCAATATTTGTTTGATGTTTTTGTTTGTACTACAGGGTGTCTCAAAAAAAGTGTCACGGTTTTGAACATCTCCCATTTCCTAACCACATGACCTACATCGTTCAAATTTTCCTGAATTAGTGGCAATAGTATGACATTTTGTGTGGCAGAATTTCAAGTTCTTAGGCAAAATGGTTTTTGCACCGGAACAAAAAATAAAAAATCTCAATTTTGGGTGCTATAGGAGATGGTATTAGCACTGTCTGCCGACGATTTCGGTAAGACTTCGGCTTTTGCTTGTTGCACCCAACAACGTGTTCGTCAGTATTGTAATTATCTACAACTATAAGAAACCAAAAAACGCCTTGCAAAACAGACAATGAAATCGCAATCACCCATTAGTCTCAGGACAGCGCGGTTGCCATGCCTGAATCTTCCGTCAAAAGCTGCAGTCGCTGACACCGTGCAAAGGACTTGTGACACACTGCACATTGCGCACACCCAGAAGTTCTGCATGTTTGAGTAGGAACTTTAAAACTGTCCATCAGCTATCGTTTCTTCTCTTTATGTGTTTCGGAACAAAACCGAGTAGAGGATTTTGCCATCAAGGATGCCGTCGACTGTCAAAGCATGGAAACTCGCGCCGTCTGAAAATCAATCAGTGTTGATCGTTGCCCATGTTTGTGGCTGTGTTTCAGCTTGCTGCTGTGCTCCAGATGTCAGTTGTACACGGTGTTCTCACCTATAAAGGTTTCAAAAATGTATTGATGAGCTTGTTTCTGGATTCATCAGGCGAAAGGGGCCCAGACTCTTCAGGATCGACGGCAGGCCGTGACGTACCTTCCCATACCTGCTACATTGCATGATTAAATCGAGACATCCAGGCATTTTAATGGCACGTGCACTGTACCACACTTTTCAAAGTTAAATGCAGTGCTTTAATATTGCCAGCCGTGTGGTTCAAGGGGTGTGGTTAAACGCGTTGAACCACACGGCTGCTGACGTCACTATCAATTATAGTTGTGAGCTTTTTGGCAGGTATGGGAAACACCTTCCAGCCCTAAGGCCGGGATTTCAATAAATGTCACCTCGCTTTTTTAGCGAAAAGCGCCTCGGGCCTAACGGCCCTCGGAGTTTTCGCTAAAAAACCTCGGTGACAGTTATTGAATCATCCCGGCCCCGGGCAGGAATATATTATCTCCTACAGCACGAAAATTGAGCTTTTTTATTTTGTGTTCTAGTGTTAAAACCATTCTGCCCAGGAACTCGTAATTTTACCACATAAAATGTCAAAACATTGCCACTAAATCTGGAAAATTTGAATGATGTAGGCCTTATGGTTACGAAACGGGAGATGTTCAAAACCGTGACACTTTTTTGAGACACCCTGTAAATATTTCAAGATTCTGTTAGCATGTGAATTGTTATGCCCTGTTAAGACATTTAGCAGTGAGCCAATTGATTGCAGTAGCAAACCGAGAACCGTCCATTCGCTATTAGAAAAAACTCAACAATGCTCGTTTTGCACAAGAATATAATTACCTTCTTACGTAAGATAGCAGTTCTTTTTCAAATAACTACGTAACAAATTTTTTATCTGTCTTCACATAAAGGTAATACGGTCAAATTTGCAATCTAAGATGATGTGACCCTTATTGGAACACATACGTCGTATGGTTTCCAAGGTGCACAAACACCTCAATTGTTTTCCATCCCATCCGTGTCTAGATCAAAATCTACCCAGGTCGTTCCGTGCTTGTTCCAGCGGCATTGAATCTGACCGAAATTTGCCGAGATGCCGACCACAGCGACCTTGAAGGTGAAGGCTTCCAATTAATGAACGCGGAGCCGGAGCTTTGGCCGGGCCACTCGTCACTGATACATGTGAGTGCTCCTAGTACCGCAGCGGAATAACGAACTGACCTGACCTTCAGGCCCTGGACTCGGAGCAAATGTTTGTATTTCCGCTGTTCTTCGCCCTCTCACCTTCATCACAATCAGTCTGAGGAGGACGCAAAGCCGTCATGGGCATACCCATAAATTAAGAAACGTTTTCGACTAGGTGCATCTGATAGTATAAAAATACGGCCATTTGCAACGTGTCAATGCTTTATTTCCTAGCTCCTTAAAGTGATTTCATATTTCTAGTGGAACAACTTTCGCTTTGTATCTCATCACAAAAAGTCACTTTTGAATGAGACAAAAAGGGATACATTGCCATAAAGTACTATGTAGAGGTGGCAAAATGTGGACCCGAGGACCCGGTCCAAAGAACCAGTCTGGACCCATATGGGTCCAGACCGGTTCCTGGAAATTTTTTCTGACGGGTCCAACCGGGTCCTACCATAAACTATACATCTTGCACACTACACTTTCTTACAAAATATGAAGGGAATTAAGTGAATGTTTCTTTGCACGCAATAGCTAGCTCATGAGTTTTCCCAGTGGGAAATAGGCTGTTTTACATGATGCAACTAATGATTCCTACAAGTAGTTTGTATTAATTGACTTTTGGGGAACGGGTCCAACTGGTTCCGGTTCCAACTAAGACCGGGTCCGACTGGTTCCAGAAATGTTCAGCCGGGTCTGGTTCGAGTCTGGTTCCCAAAATTTTCATCTTTTGCCACCTCTAGTACTATGCCCTATTGTGACCTGTTCATGCAATAGGTACGAACGATCATTGTTACATGTGCGAAATAAACAGTTTCCGGTAGTCAGTGAAAATGAAATGCTTATTTATTTTTCCCTACTAAAACACAAGGATGATATCCATGCGATGTCTCCTCTGTCAACAGGCATACAAGAAGGTCCCCGAAATGGCGTACCAAATTTGTCAGCCCCGCACTCAGTGTCGCCGAACTGGAGACGGAAATGTACTCTGTACACCGTATAGAGCTATGTGGTACACCAGGAAAGGTACGGTCCCACATCAGACATCGCTGAGATAAGCAGTCGATAAAATATAAATAAATATAACATACAAATAGACTGAGGTTGACGTCGCATAACTAGCTAAAACCGATGCTTTGATGGCTTGATGCTAAACCTCTTTGCTTTAGAACCATCACCCCAGACAGCACTCACATCACCTTTTCTTCGGCAGCTTCGCGCACGTGCGCGGCCGGTTTCCACAACGTGGTGGGCCACTGCGTCACTCCGTCTGCCCAGGCACTGAGTCAGGAGGCCGGCGCAGAGGCGTGCTCCAGCGTCCCGGGAGTACCGATCGAGTTCAACAGCGCCGCCGAGTTCACCCTCTTCAGGCTGATGATGGTCACACACCAGATGAACGAGTCCATCTACATCGGAGTCCGACGCAGCGGCGATAGCTTTGTGAACGGCGCCGGGGAGCCCTTGGTAAGGGTGGCGGTAGATGCGCCGAGGTGGGGGAACCGGGTCAGGATGTGGGGTAGCCTCAGATATCAGAAGACGGTAAAGCTCAGACTTCCGTAGTTTATCAGGTGTTTGGTGTGCTACATTTATCGTGGTGCAGAAGAGAAACAGTTCCACTTTTTCACTGAGGGAGAACCCGGACCAAAGGACATTTTCTTTTTATCGGCTAAATCTTCATTTCCGGTTTGATTAGGCACGAGAGTAATTTAACTTTATGGACATTGTTGAAAGACAGGCTCTGCACGTTCTTAAGGCCTCCTCCGTTAGCCTTGTTTTAACCATCAGAGGGCAGCCAGTAGCCACTGCTCAACACTTGGGCGCGCAGTGCTTGGTCAGATGCGCGCAGCGCGTGATCAAGGGCATTTTATTCCGCTATTTTTGAGGCTGGTTCCTTCGACAGCCGCCCGCCACGCAGTTCCACCGGATTTGGGCGCCGAACGAGCCGGCCTCCACCGGCGACTGCGTGATTCTGGATCCGGAGGTCGACTTCTTTGCCCGCGCGGTGGATTGCAGCACACCGTACCCCACATACTGTCAGCCGAGAGGTGAGCGACGAATTGCCGGCTGGACTTCGGTAGGTAGCGCAGTAATAACGTCACAGAGGAAAGTGATGTTGCAGGCTCATGTCCCGATGCACCGCTTGTGGATATAAGTTAAATCGGCTTTTTCAAAACTCATTTACACAACACTAACAAATTTCCTACTAACCAATTTCAGCACCACGCAACTGTCCGGCTGACTTCGAGTACCAGGGTGACAGCTACAGCTGCTTCCATTTCCACGTGGACACGAGCCGTGTGTGGGACCACACCGCGGCCAGCGAGGTGGGTGGGCACAGGTGCCGGATAATCGCGATAAAAATAAGAGACGGCGAGAGCGTAGCTGCTTTACTAATGAAGAGCCTATGATACTTGAAGCAATAATATGAATAAACACTCAAAACAATGGTCTTACTACATACAATATACATATGTATAATGTATATGTACATTGTATATGTTGACTGAAATAGACAAATACCTACTAATTGTTAATTGTGTTTTTCTATTGAAAAATAACTGGATACTTCAAGAAGCTCTAATGTAAAGGGGTGTACTAGGCTGTGTTGTTGGTGCCCAGCATGAAAATAAGCATTGAACAATTTAAGTGAAGACTTCGACGTACTTTGCATACGAAGCTTCTCGCTTTACTTGGCATTGTAAGAGTGCCCGTCGGTATCCTCAACACTGCCCGCTCTCGCCGCAGTACTGTCGCCACAAAGGGACGTCACTGGCCGTTCCCAGGGACCAGCAACAGCTCGACCTCATCAAGGACCTCGTCGATCGAGTCATCACAAAGGCCGTGGACGCAGTACGTGTTCGGTGTTTATCATTGGTCCTGCGTTTCTTGCAACAGGGCTTTGTGAGGCGAGAAGGGTGCTCCGTTTTTTCTTTTGTGCGCCTTTTTTCATTTCTTTTGAATAATCTAGAAAAATCTGACTTCCATAATGCTGTCTGTTCACTGGGATGCAACTTAGCCTGCCATAATGATATCGTAACCCGCTGTGAGGTATAACGGCCGGTGAATGAATGAATCGAAGAAAAATGATATTGGCTAACCATATTAAAAACGTAAACGTTAAACCGACCAGTTTTCCTCATTGTGGCGATTTTACGACCCCTTTTGTTGTGTCAGGGTGGCTCGGACACGGAGCATACAGGAGCGCTGGGAGCCGTTCTGCTGAATGACGACGGGGACGACCCAAATATCACCGTCACCATCAACAACATCAGGTAGGCTCGTGCACCGACCGGAAATCGGCGGCAATCAATCCATATGTTAGTATACGTTCATATGACACAGTCCAAGGGCTTAAAATTAACGCTTATAGTCATTCACAAGTAATAATGGTTCATGTTGGAAAGAACCTCTCTGCATTCGAACAGTAAGCGATGGCTCGATGGTTAACCCTCGCCCATGTAGGGGGGGGGGGGGGTTGGTGCAACCCCCCCCCCCTGAGGTTTTTCTTAGCTACACGCCGAACCGTTTCAGATAGCCTGCTCAAATTTTCAGTACCCTTAGGGGCATCCTTTGCGCAACTTTTGGTAAAATTTTTGTCAAGGTCATGTTAGGTCACGGAGTTATGACGTCATAAAGGGAACAACCTCCGGCCAGATTTACGCTAAATTGGAGATTGCTTCACATTGGTATAAATGCCGACTGACCTGACACACTGATGGATTGTTTTAGAATCACAACTGGCTGATTTGACATTGGCAAAATGTCCGTTGACATTTTTAAGGTCACTAAAGGTCAAGGTAAGGTCAGTGACCTCGGTTGACCTGTAATGACTTCTTGCACTTGTATGCCTTTTCGGGGTATTTTGATGCCCTGAATTCGAATTTGCTATCCATTTTAGGCATCGTCGGTTGCTTCTTGTAGTTCATTTTGGGTCAGGGTCAGGTCAGTGACGTCACACGCCTGACGTGACCCAATGCACAAATGACCTTGCTGACTTCCGAGTTCCGATGCTCCCAACGCATCATTTTTAGAGTTATGACATCGAAATACACACCAAACGATAGAGAATTGATCAATGATCACGATAGTGTAGGTTTCAAGTCGATATCTCTTACCGTTTTGCCGCAATCGGCGCGGAAATCTGAAAAAGTTAGATTTTTCCGAACATTTGACCTTTGACCGGTCATAAGTAGGTCAAATGTTGACCTAGGACCAAAAAATATACCACCAATCGCGAGATCTCGTTGAGAGCAATCCGTTGGTCTTTTCCGCTAAGCTCTACGACGCTCCGTTTTCAAACGCCAGGGGGGGTCGCACCAACCCCCCCTGCACGGGCGAAGGTGGCAAAACACCGTTTACGGGCGAGGGTTAAATGATAGGATGGCCTGGAATCTAAACTGTGATTATTTTGGTGGTAGGATTTAGGACGTGATGTGCTGTTATTTCAGATACATCACACACAAGCTAACTACATTGATCGGATACTCGTCACGATACATTGAATATTCATGCGTTTTTTTATTTCAGCCCACAACCAACGAAAACCTCCTGGAATTTGCTGAAAGAGTCCATGTCGTCTTCTAAGAGCTGTGCATACACCGTCCAGGGGTCTGATATAGAGCCCAATGAATGCATCGGCAGTGGGTCTCACATAAACTATCCCGTTTGTCAATATCACGGTAAGTAATGCATGCCATAAAACCATATATTCATTTTGGCAATAATCCACAGCTTAACCATATTGCAGATTGATTTTACTGATGCCTATCTGATTGGGTTGGCTAAGGAATACACAGCAGCTTTTACACGGCATTGCCACCTTTGTTAGTTACGCCAGTGACTCTCGTGCACCGCTTGCGGCAGCGTGCTACGCGCTCAACAGCTCAGCCGAGTGCGTGTTCCCGTTCCGCTACAAGGGCCGCGTGTACGGTCACTGCACGCGGCTGGATAGCGACGACGGCAGCGCCTGGTGTCCCACCCAGCTGGTGAACGGCGAGGCCAGTCGCACCAACGGCTCCTTCGCCACCTGTCTGGACTCCTGTCCCGGTGAGAGGCCGCCTGTCTGGACTCCTGTCCCGGTGAGAAACACACAGACCACCTATCTGGACTCCTGTCCCGGCAGAAAAACCACCTGTCTGGACTGGTGTGCCCCGGTGAGAGGCCACCTGTCTGGACTCCTGTCCCGGCAGAAAAACCACCTGTCTGGACTGGTGTGTCCCGGTGAGAGTCACACAGCACCTCTCCACGCGGTGATGCAGTGTCCGGTGGGCAATGTCCCGTGGGTTTGGCTGGTGGGTTCCTAGCTCTCGGGTTGGGAGCGTCCGTCGGGTTTCCCTCGACTGACCCCCCCCCCCTCTCGTGCCAGTGCGGCAGTGTCCGTCGGGTTTCCCTCGACTGACCCCCCCCCCCGCTCTCGTGCCAGTGCGGCAGTGTCCGGTGGGTTTCCTGGAGATCGCCGCGCCGCACCGCTCGGCGCCGCTCTGTCTACTGCTCAGCAGTAACCGGGACGAGGAGGTCCTCATCCCGCCCAGGACGCCCGGCCAACAGAGGGACTTCTGCGAGAGACTCGGCTCGCGGCCACTCACCCTGGAGTCGCCCTTCCACTACGAGCTGATCAAAAACAACGTGTCGAAGGTGTTCCCCGAGGTAAGAACGCATGGACTTGTACGATACGCATATCTATGCATAGCGTCTTGGTTAGTTAGATGCTGTTGGGAAGTATGTATAGTCGACTACAGAATGATGTTCCATTCCTCAGAAGCTATCAGTTGACCGGAGCGCTAAGTTGTGCCGTTTATCACGCAATTAAGCGTGTCGATTATGAGCATTGGGACAAAGCTATAATTTGTGAACTCAGCCCGTGTAATGCGGCACAGCCTACCACTCCAGGCAAATAATTGCCTGTGAAAAGTGAAACATCATTCTGTAGTCGACTATATATAGGCATGTATGGGATATGGAAATAATGGGATACGTACATGAAGCACGGTTATTATATTATAGCATTAGCGATCTGACAAAAGGGGTAGCGCATGAACTCTTTTAACCCTCGCCGGCCGAGGGGGGGGGGCGGGTGCCGCCCCCCCCCATAGGGTTTTTTCGCGATAGCTCCGAACACGCTGGCGATGGAGAGCTGAAACTTGGCATACCTGACCTTTGATCCAAGCCGGATCTTTTGACACCAACCGCATTTTTGGGTCAGGTCAGGTCACTGACCTATGACGTCATAAGTGAACCTCTGCACGGTCTTCAGATGTCGCAACTTCGCAACGCCCTCACTGCCAGAGGAGATGTCACAGGGAAATGAAACTTGCAGGATCTAGTATCCATTATGAGTCCCACAACTCGTATATCTCGGATTTTTCCTAAAGATCATATGAGGTCAGGTCATTTTCGTGACCTCACCATTATAAGTCAATGGGGAAAAATTCAAACTGCTATTCTGGCGCCGGGAACGATCTCCAACTATCTCAAGCACACGGAATCGTGATTTGATGCACTCCTTGCAAGGTTAGATGCGTCACTTTTGCAATGTTGACCTTGCGTGACGTCATTTATGACGTCATCAAGGTCAAATTAGTTTTTCGTTAATAACTCTTGATCAAATTGAGCTAGCGAGTCGGGAAAGGCACCAATGGACTCAGGAAGGCCTGCCAAATCGAATGATATGCGACATGACCTCTTTCGACCAACTTCGTGACCTGGGGGTGCTGACCTGACCTTGACCTGAGGTCAACACCCCAAGTTGACCTGACCAGGACAAAAAGTATATCATTCGACGCGCCTGAGCGAGGCAAACACGATGCTGCCAAAATCGGCGCTCTGCGGCCGTTTTTTTGCGAAGTTATTCATCAAAAACTGAAGCGTACCCTGGGGCACTTGACCTGACCTCAGAGGTCACCGGTTGACCTAGGACCTTAAAATCGGGTACCAATCTCTGCGTCTCGTAACGGCGCACACGCTCGTTTTTTCCGCGACGCGCTAGCTCCACCAGGGGCGAAACGGCGAGGGGGGGGGGGTCGTACCCGCCCCCCCCCCCTCGGCCGGCGCGTATGTAGAAAACCAATAGGTCCGGCGAGGGTTAAGTAAGATAAGAGGTCATCGAGTTCGAAAATGACATAGGTATTCTTCTTGCTCCCGTTTTCAGCTGCGGTCAGCTACTAAATTGAGCACAAGATACAGCCCATGTAAATGCCTGTCTTCTGGACTTTATTCTCTGTCTCTGTCTCTGTGTCTCTGTCTGTGCTTCCGTCTCTACCACTGCCCCTCTCCATCCCGCCTCTCTCTCTCCCTCTCTCACTCTCTCTCTCTCTCTCTCTCTCTCTCTCTCTCTCTTTCGCTCTTTCTCTCTCTCTCTCTTTCGCTCTCTCTCTCTCGCTCTCTCTCTCTCTCTTCTCTCTCTCTCTCTCTCTCTCTCTCTCTCTCTCTCTCTCTCTCTCTCTCTCTCTCTCTCTCTCTCTCTCTCTCTCTCTCTCTCTCTCTCTCTCTCTCTCTCTCTCTCTCTCTCTCTCTCTCTCGCACTCATTCACAGCATCTAATGCCTGCGATGGGGATTTCTCTTCCAGTTTAAGCAGTACGTGGCCTTTGGCGGCTACTATTGGAACGCCGCCGACCCGCACCTTATCCTGGACTCTGGCCGTCGCCCCTCGCCCCGAGTCCTGGAGCTCGTCAAGAGCAGCTTCGACGACGCCCTGTTGGGGACGTACAACACCACGTGCGTCGTGGTGAGTAACCACCGCTGCCGAGACAGGGGTCGTACATATAGTGAATTACCTACTTTGTGCTGCAAACCTTGCCCTCTGATCCCACGTCCCTGAAAGGGTCCCCCTGAATTCCCCCTGAATTCCCTGGATTTGATTTTTTGTTCATTGGCCTATGAACAAAAAATCATATTTAGGAAATGAAACATATCGGTAAAACGCATTCACATATATATTGGGTAAATCGCAGGTATGGAGCTTATTGAGGCAACGACAAACATTCAGATGTAACAAAACTGAACTCCAGCGGTACTTTTATCACAGACTATTAATCACCATCCATTGTTCATAAAATAATGACAACAGATTTGTTTCGACCCAATGATGCATAAACATCACATATTGATGTTTCAGATGAAAGGCGACACTTTCCAGAACGTGCCTTGTGACGTGGGAATGGCGTATCACGCATGTGAAGCGAATGGTAAGCACAGCTGCAGTTGATAATTGTCGATAAGCCAGCCATGCATTCATTAGCGTAGTTGCTCTCTCCCTCCCTCTCCAGCTCTCTTTTTCTTTTTTTTCTCTCTCCCTCCTTCTGTCTCTTCTCGCGCCACTGGCATTAAAACGCAATGCGCTAATGTCATTTAAGCATACATCATGACTTGATGCTTTTGTATACGCAACCTCGGCTATCAGTTTAAAGCTTTTGAACAACTTAACTGATCTCCCGGATGGTTACTTTGATTTTCCACAGCAGATTCGCAGCAGAGTCTGAGCACCCTTTGCGCCCCGTTGGCTGTTGTTGCGATGTGTGACGGCGGTCCCCGCCCCGGTTTCCGCTGCAGTGGAGTACACAGAGTCGGGTCCTGCGGCCGGCCAGCTCTGCCACTTTCCGTTCACGTACGCCGGCCGAAACTACTCCTCCTGCGCCGAAAACACGGACCGTGGCCAGGCCTGGTGCGCTACCGCCGTCACCGGCGACGGCCTGGTGGACGGAGACAACTGGGGATACTGTCCTCCCGGCGGTGAGATAACTGGGGATACTGTCCTCCCTGTGGTAGGATAACTGGGGATACTGTCCTCCCGGCGGTGAGAGAACAGGGGATACTGTCCTCCCGGCGGTGAGATAACTGGGGATACTGTCCTCCCTGTGGTAGGATAACAGGGGATACTGTCCTCCCGGCGGTGAGATAACTGGGGATACTGTCCTCCCGGCGGTGAGAGAACTGGGGATACTGTCCTCCCGGCGGTGAGATAACTGGGGATACTGTCCTCCCTGCGGTGGGGTAACTGGGGATACTGTCCTCCCGGCGGTGAGAGAACTGGGGATACTGTCCTCCCGGCGGTGAGATAATTTATGATACTGTCCTCCCAGCGGTGGGGTAACTGGGGATACTGTCCTCCCGGCGGTGAGAGAACTCGGGATACTGTCCTCCTAGCGGTGAGATAAATGGGATACTGTACTGTCCTCCCGGTGGTGAGAGAACTGGGGATACTGTCCTCCCGGTGGTGAGAGAACTGGGGATACTGTCCTCCCAGCGGTGAGAGAGCTGGGGATACTGTCCTCCCAGCGGTGAGAGAACTGGGGATAATGTCCTCCTGGCGGTGAGTCAATGCAAGAAACGAATGTGATGCTGGTTTTCTACAAATACAGACCGGTTTGAATAACGTCAGCTAGTGGCTTCAGCTCCAGACCCTTCGAATGATTGCAATTTGCATCAACCTAACATCTAGTATCATGTACTAAACTCCGCGATATCGGTTTTAGCTGGCACACATACCATATCGGTACAAGTAAATCAACAATCTGTATCAGCTGGTTATCATTAACTACTTACTTTTATTTCAATTTAATTGATGCTGATACTCATGTGCCAGCACCATGCACACAGCGCTCAGAACTGAGCAGTGTGGCCGGCTGGTCGGTCAGAGTGGCTGCCCTGAGCAGTGAGCACTGAGCAGTGAGCAGTGTGGCCGGCTGGTCGGTCAGAGCGACTGCACTGGGCAGTGAGCACTGAGCAGTGTGGCCGGCTGGTCGGTCAGAGCGGCTGCACTGGGCAGTATGACCGGCTGGTCGGTCAGAGCGGCTGCACTGGGCTGAGCAGTGTTACCGGCTGGTCGGTCAGAGCGACTGCCCTGAGCAGTGAGCACTGAGCAGTGAGCAGTGTGGCCGGCTGGTCGGTCAGAGCGGCTGCACTGGGCAGTGTGACAGGCTGGGCTGGTCGGTCAGAGCGGCTGCACTGGGCAGTGTGATCGGCTGGTCGGTCAGAGCGGCTGCACTGGGCAGTGTGACTGACTGGGCTGGTCGGTCAGAGCGGCTGCACCGAGCAGTGAGCACTGAGCAGTGTGGCCGGCTGGTCGGTCAGAGCGGCTGCACTGGGCAGTGTGACTGACTGGGCTGGTCGGTCAGAGCGGCTGCACCGAGCAGTGAGCACTGAGCAGTGTGGCCGGCTGGTCGGTCAGAGCAGTGTGACTCGCTGGGCTGGTCGGTCAGAGCGGCTGCACTGGGCAGTGTGATCGGCTGGTCGGTCAGAGCGGCTGCACTGGGCAGTATGACCGGCTGGTCGGTCAGAGTGGCTGCCCTGAGCAGTGAGCACTGAGCAGTGAGCAGTGTGGCCGGCTGGTCGGTCAGAGCGACTGCACTGGGCAGTGAGCACTGAGCAGTGTGGCCGGCTGGTCGGTCAGAGCGGCTGCACTGGGCAGTATGACCGACTGGTCGGTCAGAGCGGCTGCACTGGGCAGTGTGATCGGCTGGTCGGTCAGAGCGGCTTCACCGAGCAGTGTGGTCGGCTGGTCGGTCAGAGCGGCTGCACTGGGCAGTGTGACTGACTGGGCTGGTCGGTCAGAGCGGCTGCACCGAGCAGTGAGCACTGAGCAGTGTGGCCGGCTGGTCGGTCAGAGCAGTGTGACTCGCTGGGCTGGTCGGTTAGAGCGGCTGCACCGAGCAGTGTGATCGGTTGGTCGGTCAGAGCGGCTGCACTGGGCAGTGTGACTGACTGGGCTGGTCGGTCAGAGCGGCTGCACCGAGCAGTGAGCACTGAGCAGTGTGATCGGCTGGTCGGTCAGAGCGGCTGCACTGGGCAGTGTGACTGACTGGGCTGGTCGGTCAGAGCGGCTGCACCGAGCAGTGAGCACTGAGCAGTGTGGCCGGCTGGTCGGTCAAAGCAGTGTGACTGGCTGGGCTGGTCGGTTAGAGCGGCTGCACCGAGCAGTGTGGTCGGCTAGTCGGTCAGAGCGGCTGCCCTCTCCCGGCAGACGAGCGGACGGTGGCCGGCCCGGCCAGCCCGGAGCGCTGCCAGTTTCCGTTCATCGCCGGCGGCGTGCGCTACGAGCGGTGCACCAAGGTCACCGGGGTCACCACGCCGGACACGGGTGGACGCTTCTGGTGCAGCACCGCCAACGACGCGGCCGGCGTCATGACCCGTCCGGACGCCTGGGGCGAGTGCCACGAGAACATCTGGCCGCCCGGTGAGACGCCGCCGCCGCCGCCACTGCCCTGGGCGGGGCTGGTCCTGGGCATAACCTCTGTCTGTGTGAAATAGACACTCGCAAGTTGAGCAAAATCATACATTTTTTAAAGACCCCCAGACAAAGCGAAAGATTACCAAACTGTCCCATATCAACCGAGTAGGTAATGCGCAGTGCGCACTTATGTGTACCTAATGCACATACACTATACAGGATATGATACCTATGCTTGTATATACGTATAATAATTCATCGATAAAAACAATCCAACATTAAAGAGTGGGTACAATGTTTACGTCTACCTACTCGTATAATTGAATGCACATATCTGATATGCACATGTGAATCATGCATACTTTTCACCCACACATGTAGTCTACCTATATTGGACACAATTTTTGTCTTCTGACTTCCCAGGATACTTTTGTATGCTTATTCGACAGATAACCCATACTGCAATGCACCGTTTGAGGGCAACGGAGAGGGAAAATGCGCCTATCTCCATCACGAGAAAATCACCGATGACACTGAAGCTGCAGGAGTGTGTAGCAATATCAACGCTGAGCTAGCTATTCCATTCTCCAAAGAACATCAGGTAAGATGGTCAACTGTATCTGTGGGTCTGACTCTGGTAAGAACGTCAGGTAAGATGGTCAACTGTCCCTGTGGGTCTGACTTGGTAAGAACATCAGGTAAGATGGCCAACTGTCTTTGTGGGTCTGACTCTGGTAAGAACATCAGGTAAGATGGCCAACTGTCTTTGTGGGTCTGACTCTGGTAAGAACGTCAGGTAAGATGGCATCATAGCCAACTGTCTCTGTGGGTCTGACTGGTAAGAACGTCAGGTAAGATGGCCAACTGTCTCTGTGGGTCTGACTCTGGTAAGAACGTCAGGTAAGATGGCCAACTGTCTCTGTGGGTCTGACCGGTCTGACTCTGTCTGCTTCAACGTGCGTCTATCTCTGCCTTTGTTTATGTCAAACTTGTCGAATTTTCTATTTTTCCGCAAGCCAAGATATCTCGTTCAAATACCATTTTGCTGGACCCCAGAAAGGTGAAATACAGTAAATTTCTAAACAGGAGAAAATCTTGACGACATGCGAAAAGCACTTATTGAATTCATAGATGTCGGCATCTACATAGTTAGAGCATCAACTGTATTTCGTTGGAATACCTACAGAACCTTTCAGATGTTTCTTTTATCTTCCCGTGTTTATTACAATGAAATAAATGCCTTTTCCAGGAAGTACTTGACGAATTCATCCAGGAGAAGGACAAAACATATTTTCCCAACTTTGACTACATCCGCACCTCTGGCTACAAGAGCAATGGTCAATGGTTTTGGAAGGGTGCCCTGGATATCGGTACGTAGTTACTCGATTTAACACATTTATCGTGTTACTTATAGTTCACCGGCATTGGACTCGTGAAAACCCAAGTGTGTGCAGTCTATTATAGATATTATATTGTTTGCAATATTCTTGTCCACACATTCTTGTCTTGTCCGCGAGTGACTTGCCCGACCTGTGACCTCAAAATTAAACTTTTAAGTACCTACTCATTCGAAACGTCTGTCACGTTCTTTCGTTTGCCGCCTCGCGCGTTGCGTTGCACCCATTGGTTCTCGAGTTACCGGCTGGGGGCGCACGACCAGGCCATTTCTCATAACACGAACGACCAGGGGGGGGGGGGGTTGTTACGACCCCCCCCCTGGCGTTTCGAAACGGAAGGTCGTAGAGCTTAGCGGAAAAAACCAACGGATTGCTCTCAACGAGATCTCGCGATTGGTGGTATATTTTTGGTCCTAGGTCAACATTTGACCTACTTTTGACCGGTCAAAGGTCAAATTTTCGGAAAAATAGACTTTTTTCAACTTTCGGCGGCGATTGCGGCAAAACGGTGGGAGATATCGACTTGAAACCTTCACTATCGTGTTCCTTGATCAATTCTCTATCGTTTGGTATGTATTTCGTTTCCCTAGCTCTAAAAATGGCGCGTTGGGAGCGCCGGAAGTCGGCAAGGTCACAGTCGGCGCCAGAAATTCGAAAAATCAAAATTTAAATTTTTGAAATCTGATTGTATTTTTGGATTTGGGAGGTCCATTTGCTCCCTATAGAAGCTAATATTGCTGCATATTCCCATTGAGGTGACAAGAATTAGCAAAATAGTGGTCCGTGAAGTTTTCAAAAATAGCACCGGACGCTGTTCCTCTTGTGACGTCATAGCTCCGTGACCTGACCTGACCCGGTCAAATTTCTTATACCATATGATAGCCAATACTTGCCCCAACAAGCATGGGAAGTTTCATCACGATCCATCAACCGATGTCCGTACCACCGGCAGGAAACCTCGGGCGTTGGCACTCAGTTTGTGAAAATCCGGCCGGAGGCTGTACCTCTTATGACGTCATAACTCCGTGACCTGACATGACCCGATCAATTTTTTTTTCGGCAAAAGATGCGCAAAGGTTGCCCCAGAGGGTATTGAAAATTTCAGCCCGCTACGACAAGCCGTTTAGCGTGCACTTCGAAAAAACCTCAGGGGGGGGGGGTTGATACAACCCCCCCCCCCTAGGCGTTCTAGGGTTAAAGCCTCCTCCCCCCCCCCCCCAGCAACTGCCGGGTTAAAAGATTCGATTACGACGCAAGCATGAAATTATCTGTGGGATGCATGTCACCATTTACGTCTTGCCGCAAACAATAAGTTCGGAGACCCACGGGTGTCGCTCGCTTCCCGGGACTGGTTAGCCAGGCCTGTGTCCGAATGTACTTACACAGGCCGAATGCAGGTAAACGTACCATGTACGTACGTTTACCTGCGTATGCATTATGCCTTATGCAGTTACATGCAACCCGCAAGTGCTTACGTAAATCCACCAGGTCATACTCGTATACGCCCAGCCAAGCGACTGACTGTTTTCGTATCCTTGTGTACTGGCGCCCGTCCCTTCTCTGATTGCTCCTCACTGTCTCCATACGTGCAGGATTCTTCAACTGGGCGGCAGCCGGCGAAGCGGCCAAGGAGGGGTGCGTGTTCATTGACACGACCGTGGGCCCTCCGTACCGCTGGGTGGTGCTCGCCTGCGACACACCCGCCTACACCGTGTGCCGCGCCGCCTGTGCCGACGGACAGATCACGTTCAACGGTGAGCTTGGCGCCCAGCAGCAGCCCTGCAGGCACGCCGGGCGGTCCGACAAGGCTCCAGTCAGCATCAGAACTGCCCATCAGTCCCATCGAGGACCGGCCTCACATTTGGTGCTAGTCCTGGGATGAAGTCGTAGCGCCCAGTGCATACCAATAGCAATCAGTTGAGTCGCAGCTCTTTGAAAGGGGAGAAGAAAGGGGGAAACATCTACCTCCAGTTAGGTATAGTTCTGCCTCCCCCTCCCCTGGTCCTCTTTCCTCGATACCTTCTTGATTGATCTCTAGCAGTCACAGTTTTGCGGATTCATGGAAACGTTTTGGACGAATAAGATGTAAGTACCTGTGAGAAGTGATGCACCACGGAGCGATGTCGCCTCCGAAGAGGCCGACACCCGCCTTGCTGCCGCCCACAGGCCGGTGTCTGGAGGTGAGCACCACGACCGTCATTGTCAGCGTCCTGGCAGAGGCGGCGTGCCACGACAAGGGCCAGCGGCTGTTCACGCCCTCCAGCGACGCCGAGCTGCGCCAGCTGCAGGGTGTGATGGCCGCCCAGTACCCCGGCAAGCTGCCGGCCATCATCGGCCTGACCGAGTGTCGGTTCTCGTTCGCCGACCTCTGGCGGCGGAGCCGCGCCGACCGGCAGGTGCCACGCACAGTGTGAGTGACGACCGCCGTCCACCAGCCGCTTAACCACAGGGCAGCGAACGCCTCAACCCGTCAGCTACATCCGGGTCACTAAAAATCCAAACTTAAAGCAAAAAACAAAAAACAATTAAAGACATGTAATGGAGAAAAACTACCAATTAATCCAGAGTGTCGAGCGCTCACGTGCATTGCAGACACAGCGTTATTGTGTAATTTTGTTTTGAATGGAAATAACGTTGAACCAGTCGACTAAATGCTAAATTTCAAGATACAACAGAACCTAAGCTGTCATGTCATGAGTAGATCTGTGATGAACTCAAGCGAAGCGGTAATGTAAGGTGTCGTGGCGGTTCCACTTATTCTTCTTGTCTATTATTGTTGTTAATTTGACTGGCGCTGCCCAATTTGACGACGAAGGTTTATGTGTTCCGTGCTACTTTCCATTTTTACTAATAAGTTTTTTATTTTTGCTAACCACAGAGACGGCAAGCTGGCTCGCTGGGCAATTCCTGGTACCAATTATCAGTATGATCAGCCGTTTCCTTGTCTGGATGAGACCTCTCAGGGCTTGTATTTCACTCTGGAGCCGCCCTCGGCTCCGCAGCCAATGACGGCGTATGCGAACACCAAGTCGCTCAGCCTGAACTACATATGCGCCCCCGATTTGACGGGTGAGTATGATTAGTCCAAGGCAGTCGTCACCTTCGAGCGATGTTAACGAACGGCCATTGTGGCAGTCCTTGTTGCGCGCAGTGATACGATTTTCTTCCACCTTCACAGCGCGATTCGAGCCTTTTTAGTTCCTTGTTGTCGCCTTATTACTTATTATCTTTGTTTTCGGACTTCCTTGTTCAATTGAAAAGGACACTGTACGTGGAAGGCTTGCGAGGTTAATACATAATATATGCGTACGTAAAAACATACATGATGATAATTAACATAAATGGAGAGAAGATATTCGATTGCCCGCAACCAATCTTGTGACCACGCATCAACATTTTTTACATGTCCAGGGAACAGCATTTCAGTGCTCGATATGCGTCAACATTGTCACCTGAAAATTATTGCAATTTAATTATGGCAAAACCGATGTCGTGCCAATTACGTTTTGTTAGAAAACGCCGTAATTGTTTTTTGACTGTCCTCCATGTCGCAACATTTATGCGTTAATATTGTTCGTTGTGTTTTACAGATCCTTGCCCGGAAGGCTACCACCCCCTCGACGACCAGTGCATCAAGGTCTCCGACACCACTGCAACCTACCACGAGGCACAGGCGGCATGCCACGAGGACAATGCGGACTTGCTATACATTAAGTATTTTCATGAGGTGAGATACTAACATCAGGCTTCTGAAGGTTGCACGATGGTCTCATAGGCCCCAGATTGTCTCTTGAGGGTTCAGCGCAGATTCTTAACCCTCGCCCGTATTGGTGTTTTTGCCAGCGTCTTACATATAGGTAGGGACGTACAGTGGCCACAAAAAAAATCTTGACATGGGGAAAATGCAGTGAAAATTGAGTGATTGAATATGTCAGTTTGTACAACTGGTATCTCCTGTATCAGAGGGGAATAGTTGGATCCCCCCCCCTGCCATTCGGTCCTGATCGAGGTAAAGCTTCGCGGAAAAACACAAGCGTGTTGCCCGTGACGAGAGAAAGCCGATGATACCCAATTTTAAGGTCCTAGGTTATTGGTTGACCTTCCAGCTCAGATCAAACCATCAACGACTTTAAAGTCCGGAAAATTGGGACCTGTTAGAACTTGATATAATGAGGTTGTAATGTTTCTCGGCGTCCTGATTACGAATTTCATGTAAGTTTTGACCACAGGACACGGGTGATGTCTTCATACATTTAAAACCCTCGCCCCCACATGGGGGGAGGGGGTGCCACCCCAGGTAGTTTTTCTGCTCTGCTCTGCACTCAACATTTTTAGAGCTAGAAGCCTGAACTGCTGCTGAACGTGCGTGCCACATTGCAGCGCTACACTGTGCCGCTCCTCGTCAAGGCACTGAATTCTGCCCAGCTTACTCGGCAGTTCGTGTGGATTGGATACGACAGGATCGACGATCCCACATTCACGAACATCTGGGGCGAACCTGGCTCCTTTAAACAAGGTGAGTATGTTTTTTTCATAAAGTAGGCTCAAATGTGTAAATTAATGGACAGGTTGACAAAGCCGGGACCCTCACTAAGCATCATCATCATCTTCATCATCATCATCCTCATCTCCTGTGATATCCTCCGGTATCAAATGTTTCACATTTGAATTCGAATAACTTTTGGGTACACTTAACAGTCCACTCAGCCATTTTGAGGCGAATCTAGAATCAGTCTATTCACATTTGCGCACGTGCAGACTGAGACAACACACTCATGAGACTCATGGGCATGGGCAGCATCCGAAACAGTCCCTTCCAGCGTAGCAACTTTGAGCGCAATCAGCGCACCCTGTCTTGAGCTGTAGAAGAGGCCTTTGCACGTGCACACGTACAAAGTGAGATCTCAATTGACCTTAGTTTATACCCTACCACTGGTCGAATCGATCCTATTTACCTGATGCACAAAATGACAGGGTAAACAGCAATATATGCAATGAAGTTGCGGTTCAGAGAGTTTGCTTACTGCTGATAACAAACAAAGTAAAAATCTTCAACGATTCCAAAATATTTCTATAAGCTTGCTTCCACTTGTTGCTTCCCGGTTCACCACCCGGTCTGTTGTTCGACATATTGTTTATCCATGCCCTTCTGTCAATCTCAGTTCGATGCTAAGTGCCAACGTGACGTGTCTTTGATTTCAGGATGGTTGAAGAATGGTCCAGGAACCACACCGCAGGACTGTGTCATTTTACAGAAGGATACCAGCTGGTTAGGAGGATACGTATTCAACGTTCGAGACTGCAACGAACGCCACCACTATGCGTGCACGTACAGGGGTAAGTCCGAATCAAGTCCTTTTAAACGTTTAAACGTTTGAGACCTTTCAGAAACACTTTAATTTCACTACTATGCACACGTACTTTTAGTCAAATTGATAAAGCCGAGGGTAGGTACTGGAAATTTCATGTCGGTACATTTAGCGCTTTTAAAGATATTGCAGGAAAACGGAACGGGCCTACCCTCAGTCATCAGCTGGTCCAATCGTATCTGTTTTCATTCATTTGACGTTAAAATTTCACGACAGGTCAGCAGAGGAAAAACATTTGTCCGGAGGAGTTCCCGTTCTACTACCAAGGAGACTGCTTCCGAGTATCAAACAGTAGCCTCACATTCGCCCAGGCAGAGGTGAGGTGTGCTTATCACTCTTATAAGTTCATACACAGACTTCTCTATATATAGAGAAGTCTGTGGTTCATATGATGCCTATATAACTGCGAATGCGCTCTTGTTTACCAAGCTCGAGTTCAGACAGAGGCGAAGCGGAGGGTTGGGTGGTTGGTACCGTCTTTCCCTCTGGCTGAGCGTCTGTGGAATACCGGTGACACTGGTGAGGATTAAATATCAGGTCCAGAACCCCCAAATGGGGATTGAGTTGTTTTTTTCGGAAAAAACGTCGACAGACATGGACCGTAAAACAAAGATATTCAGTATTCACACCTTCTCGTTTGTCTTGCCAAGGCGTGCCAAATGTGAAATGGTAGGTATAACTTTATAGATATATATTGAGTAGGAAAAACCTACAGCACATGGGTGGACGCGTTTCGTCAGAGACTTTTTCAACACCCGAATATCGGCAAAACAATACGAACACACAAGAACTGTGTGTGTTTTGTCGATATTCGGGTGTTGAAAAAGTCTCTGACGAAACGCGTCCACCCATGTGCTGTATGTTTTTCCTACTCAATATATATCTATTTGTCTGTATAACTTTATGTTCAAAATCAACAGCTTTTTTTAAGTTTCATGTTGGCCTCACTCCAGGGCCTTGGATGATCTTTGATCAACTTGACTGGCTTGACAAACGTGAAGTACTATACGACACATTCATGGGCGCTAATTACGAATCTGGCTTCGCATTTGTCAGGAGCGTGGTGTGTCTGTGGGGTTGGCCGTTGGGGGGGGGGGGATGAGTGTGAAGCCGACTGTGCTGCTCTCTGGCAGGTGGAGTGCTCGCTGAGTACGAGCGGGTACAGCAAGCTGGCCGCGCCCCAGGCCAGCCACGTCAGCATGTTCGGCTACTTGGCGGCACGCTTTGACGACCTCTGGGTGGGTCTGGACGACCGCGCCGGCGGGCTCACCAACAGGTACGGCTGCCACCTGGTGCGGGTGGCCTAAAAGGGTGTCAAACCATGGAAAATTATCAAATAGACGAAAAAGTGCGCAAAAAAAGCGCCTTGACTGAGAAAGCTGACTGAGCTGAGCGATCGACCTCGAGGGCGGATAGGAACTATACTGAAATGATGTGGTGCTGCCTATGAGCAATTCAAAACTGAGATACAGATAACTAAAGAAGAGGACAGCTGCACTCACAAACGACTTGTCAGACAGGGTAGGCTCTTATGCACAATGTCAGCATTCAATAGTGATGGGGTTCTATTCTGGAACTGTCACAGCTTCTGCAGGCAGTCGACCCTCATCCACTGTGTGGCGACGTGTCTCGTGACCCGTATCCACTATCCAGTGTGTCAATGACACACCATGACCCTGGACCGTAACTTATCATTCCTGATCACGCATAACACTAAATTCAAGGCTGTATCTTATAATTCAAGGCTAAGAAACCAAAACCTCATTTAAAAATCTCAAATTAAAATCGGGTTAACTCAGTTTTATTTGCAAGATTTTTTACACAATTAGCCGTCGGGATGCATCAGGCAGACAGCAAAGGGCAAGATATCATCAAATGAACCTTAGGATGAAGTATAATGTCGGGTACTGCGGGATGCCTAGGAGAAGAGTTGCGCCCTGGCCGGCGGGGATAGGTGAGCTGACCTCTCCGTGCTGCCCTTGCCCCCAGTGGCGGCGACCCGGTGTTACCGGCCACGGTGGCACGCCTGCCCACACCGGACGCCAGCAGCCGGCGGCGCCGCTCCACCGGCCAGTGTATGGCCATCCGGGACGGCGGCTACCAGCTCACCGACTGCCAGGAGAGGCGCCGGCACGTCTGCCTGCTGGTCAGGAGCCCCAGCTGTCCGGACCGCTTCATCAGACACCAGGACAACTGCTACCTGGTAGGGACCCGGCAGCGGCGTGCCGTTGCCGATCTGACACTGTCACTGTGCCGCCTTGTGCCTGCGATTCGCCGGTGTGAGAGTCCGATTGACGCCGCGCTCCACATTGGCAGGTACCCAACCAGCGACCACGCGGGGAAGACTACGCCACCGCCGAGCGAAAGTGCGCCCTCACCGGCAGTTTCGTGGCGGCTGACCGCGACGCACGTCAAGCGGACTTTCTGAAGGCCCTTTGGACCGCAGGTGAGTGTCCAGCATGGTAGATTGTCCGGACCAAGATTACTTTAATACTGTCCTGACGAGTAGCATCGAAATCAGCGTCATGGGCCATAATGCGCAGCCTTAGACAATTCTTATCGCTATCAGGTTTAGGCGCGGCCTATCGGTCTGTGTCTGTGTGGCGAGCTATACGGATAAAAGCTTTGCGCTCTATTAAAGTCCCTCAGCGTGGAACGGAATCCCCCTCCCCTGAACCAATCCATCACTCATACATCACTCAGCGCCGTTCGATAACGCGGGGGTCTGCCTCAGTGAACCACACCTCGTACTGGGTGGGACTCAGCTCGGACGAGAAGGACGAGACGTCGCTCTTCTACCCCAACTGGGAGCCGTTCACCTCTGGCAACTACAGCCGGTTCGACGCGCCGCCGTCGATGGCCGCGCCCGCCTGCACCGTCGTTGCCAGTGACGACGGGTTCGCCACCTGGAGAGAGTCATCGTGCGTCCAGAGGGCGAACATTATCTGCCACTACCAGGGTAGGTGGAGAGGGCAAACACTATTTGACAGCGTCAAGGATAGGCGGATAGAATGTTTAGATAAATGCATCCCTTGGCAATGGGAGCATTGTGTTCAAGTAGTTGGTTCATTCAACAAAGCGAAAAGCATCAGGTTACTGTACCAAACGTATGCAACTTACGGTAATTAATGGTTTTTCCTTACCTCTCGTCTTCCGAGGCTCGCCCATCTGGCACCTATACCGTCTAACATCCCCGGCCCAAGCAGGACTGCTCATTTTACCTCTCACCTCCCCAAATCTGCCCGTCTTGTCGCTCGCCTCCTCAGTCCCCAGTTCTGCCCATCTTACCTCTAATCTGGCCAGGTTCACCTCTCTCTCCAATCTCTCCAGGTCTGCCCACCTGTCCGGCGGGCTACACGGCGCTGCTGGACAGCGGCTACACGTGTCTGAGACACAGTCCAGACAACGGCACCTACTGGTCCAAGTTCAGCGAGTGCTACAACGACGGTCCCAACACCGGACTGGCAGTGGTCTCCTCCGGTCGGGTACAGGCAGCCATGATGGTGAGACACACTGACGGCCCAGCGGCCAGCGGGCCCACAGCCATTAATGGATTCATTACCCTCTTCCTCCCGCTCACACACACACACACAATTACTTATGCGCATTGCAGCATGCGTATGTAGAAATATGACAACATCAAATGAAGGCTTTTGGATGAGTTGATCGGTAATCACTTTTCAAAGTCATTCATGAGTAATGGATAATGAAATCAATCAGAGGTAAGTTCAGTTATCATATACATATTCAGTTATCACTATTCAACATTCAACATTCCGTGTCGCTTTTCAGAGCTTTGTAGAAAAAGAAAGCAACGCTGCTTCCACGGCACCGTTCTGGATCAGCTTCCGCGGGCCTTCGGCTCTCGTGGATGAGCCCGAGCACCAGAACCGGCCAGTGGGGAACGTGGTGCAGCGCGTCCGCTGGATCGACTACAACGCCATGACGTGGACCGACGAGGTCACGGAGCTGCACAACAACGGCACCAACAGTGAGCAGACGCCGCGGTCGCCCCGCGCGCGCCGCGGGACGTGGCTCCACGGGTGTCTGTTGACTAGCTATGAGAATCGTCCCGGCCCCCGGGTGCCTCTTGATTAGCTAAAAGAATGGTACCAGGTGACCGTTGACTAGCTAAGAGTCTGCGGACCAGTTGACTTCTATTTTGACTCAACTTCTAGCAAAGACGAGTAAGATTCAATATTGCAAGCCAAATGGTGTAGTTGTCGAACCTTTTTTTCAGGCTTCCAAGTTCCACAATATTCAGGGTGTGAGAAGGTCCATGAGGTGTGCTGTGTTGATAATGACGTGTTTCTTAGTGATGTCTAGCTTCCTAACACTTACGGTATTAATCTAGCTTGAATGCCTTAATAAAGTAACTTCCTGCGCCATCTCCTCCCAGTGACGGAAATCTGGCGCGATAAGTGCGCCACTCTCGACCTCGAGAGCAACTGGCTGCGCAACGACTGTCTCGACAACTTTGCCGCCCTCTGCGAGCACACCGGTGAGTTGTGAGTTCTGACTGTGAGCTGCAGCCCTGAGTTACAGAGCTATCGGCTGCATTCGGGAGCGTTATTAGCTGCAACTGCACCAGAGGCATTTCTCCAGAGCCTTCCACAGGACTTGACCTTAGGGAAGGCTTTGATGAGACGGCATAGCAGTGGCAACCGTGACAGAACGACGTCATAATAATAGAAACATCCTTAGGTTGCTAACATCTTCAGCGTTTTTTCATCAATTTTCAAAGCAGACATCATCTGAAGTGTGACAAGACATGTGTACGTAATGCGAAGGATCTACAGTTAGTGGATGTATCATGGCATTGGTGTTCCGATTTAGCCATGCCGGTTTAGTTTGTAAACCGACTCGTTGATAGTGTCGACATTTTACCGACCTGCCCCCGTTACCGATTGGTTTCAGCGTGCTACTCGACCCGCGGCCACCAGTGTATCTTCCCGTTCCTCGGCCCGGAGGACGGCGTGGAATACCACAACTGCACGTCCCTGGACACCACAAACATCTTCCAGCCGTACTGCGCCACGGGTGAGGCCCCTTTCAGTCGTACTGGTGAGGCTACTTCCAGCCGTACTGCGCCACGGGTGAGGTCTTTTCCAGGCGTACTGGTGAGACCTCTCCTCTCCCAGCCACTGGTGACACCCCTTCCAGACACTAATGACTGTTGAGGCTCCTTACAGCCACTGGTCAGACCCCTTCCAGCGGCCCGTACTGCGCCACGGGTGAGGCCACTCACAGGCACTGATGAGGCCCATTACTGGGCCACTAGTGAGGCTCCTCTTCCAGCCGCCGCCACCAGTCACTGGGCGCAATGTGCTTCACTGCACAGTTGTCGATAGTTCTGGGCGCTGGTGTTATCTTTATACACGCAACTGCAGTCTCCACGCCTCTGTAACGTCCCCTAGCTAATGTACGTACGAATGTTGGTCACGTGGCATCCTCTTGTGCAACAGCCCGGTGTCTGTACGTCTGTCCCTCACCTGGCGATCCCCTCGTGTAAAGTCTGTCTGCCACCCCACGGCCGCCTGGTGCAACTGTCCGTCTGTCCATCACGTCACGGGCCCGGTCTCACCGTCACCCGCAGAGGTGAACAGCACGGGGCACGCGGTGCGGATTGAAAAGTGCCAGCGCTACTGCTACTTCCGCCGACCCGTTGTCAAGTGCTACGACCCTCCGCTGCACCCGCTGTTGGGGAACGAGACCGACCCAACGGTCTGGAGAGCCAACTGGACATCCAGCTGGGACGGTGTCACCCACCTCAAACAGGTGGGAGCTGCGCGCACACACTGACCTCACCTCAGTGTGAACAGATCGGGACAGGGACTGGGACGGTGTCGCCCACCTCAAACAGGTGGGAGCTGCACACACACACTGACCTCAGTGTGAACAGATCGGGACAGGGGTGATGAGGAGAGCGTCTATACGTTAGGTGTGTTCAGACGGAGACGGGAAGGGTGGCAGACGGATGTCAGGCGTGGCGATGTGGTTGACGATTTGCACTGGTGGGACTGATTCGAATCAGTGGCACACAGCATCAGTTATGTTAACACTGCTGCAAAAATAAATGACTTTTCAAATCGCAGTTGACGTATTGAAACTAGTATGATATATACGCTGGAAGTTCGCAAGCAAATGGTAACAATGTTCGAAACTTTGCAGTACCAAAATATCACCTACCAGTGTCCGATCGGGTACGTCTTCGATAAGAACAATAAAAACATCATCAAACTTACCTGTGGAAACTGGACGTGGGAGCCGGAGCCTGGGCTCAGCAACGCCACCTGTCAACGTAAGAGTCATGCGGAAAAGGAGGGAACGGATAGCCTGCCGAAAGGCGCAGATTTTGGCTGCGTGGTGACGTGAAAAAAATGTGCTGTTTTCGACAATCTGTAATTTGATAGAAGAATGTAACACTTTCCGGCACATACTGAAACAAACGCCTTATGACATTATTTTACAGTGATTGTAAATATGAAAAAGACAGCAATGTTCGTTTAAATTTCAGCCAAGTATTAAATGTTATTCATATTTCATATTGGCGATCACCGCATCTATATATCTAGACCCGGCTGCTCTCTGAGCCGTTTCTGACATCTGACGCCCCCCCCCCCCTCACCGCCGCCCACACAGCGGTACAGTGTTCCCGTGAGCTGCCGAACGTACCGGCCGACACCTCTCCGGGAAACGCCAGCGTGCTCGTCTGGGACGGCCTTTACGAGTATCTCACTCCCATCGAGTTCACCTGTCCCACCGGTAAGCCACGGTGTCGTCAACGAGGAGATGTTATAGAAAGGGAAGTTTGGCGTGCTCTAATAGCCAGTTTTCTCTTCATCCCAAACATAAGCGAACCCAAATAATATAGGGGGAAGTAGACGCGGATATTCATTGGAAATGTGTGTTGTATAGCCCCAGGATTAAGTATAAGCATTATGGGTTCCGACCGAAGACTCACCAAGGCCAAGCTGTCAGTCTCTCTCGCTAATCTGTGACCCGATACAAAATCACCCACCCGACCGATCACGCGCCTGGCGTCTGACCTGACCTCCCGTCAGGTCACGTGTTCGAGGGCCTGGTCCGCAAAGCCCACGAGGGGAACTGGTCCATCAACCCGTCACCGTGGAGCCAGCTTACGTCGGTCGAGTGTGACGCCACCGGCCAGTGGATGCCAGCCTTTCTGCCCAACTGCGTGCCGTTCGACTGTTTGGGGCCACCTCTCGAGCCCCCCGAGTGGGTCTCGTACGACTGGGACAACGCCACAATCAGTTATGGACACACGGTGAGTGCCAGCGAGTGAGACAGACACTCGGAGAGTTAACAGACACACGGTGAGTGAACGGGAGTGTCAGCTACGGGTACACGGTGAGTTACAGCGAGTGAGACAGACACTCCGACAGTTCACTGACTAAACGGAGTGAGTGAGTGACAGTGAGAGACTGTCTGGTATAGCCAGTGACCATGATCTCAAGTGGCCTGGCTGTGATATAACCGGCCCCTGTTTCGACCTCCAGCCACCTGACTAGTTATCAGGTACGAATGGCTCCTTACATTTAACCCCAGGAGATCTGTATGATGAACCCGACAACTATCCCTTCTCTCAGGTGCGCTACTGGTGCACTCCCGGTGTCGGCTGGGCCTTCCCCAGTGACGGGGCCATAGAGCACTTCAGCACGTGCCAAGAGAACGGCAACTGGTCCTTGACGGAACTGGAGGATTGCATCTGTGAGTAAAAACATCTCCCTCAGGCCGACTCACAGTGGTTGTCACCAAAGCTTCTACTCGGGATCTGTCGCGGAAAGAAAATGCATTCCTAAATTAATGGCAATTCATGCACGGTCACTTTTTGTTCCGTCTTGCTTAAGGATATGTCTGTACTTCCCGCGGCTCGCTATCGATAGCCCATGTGGTGCATAATGTGCGATGTGCAGACACCGTATCAACAAAATATGTAGCCAAGAACAACTCCGCTGTGAAGTCCTGCCACTCTGTTTACCGCGCCGCTGCCGTCAGTGATGCCGTGCCCGGACCCGGCGCCGGAGACGGTCACCAACCAGACGTTCAGCTACGGCCTCGTGTTCAGCAACTACACGTGTCCTCCGGCCTGGGAGTTCGCCGACGGCAGCCGCCAAAAGTCGGCAGAGTGCCTGCTCGAGACCAAAGTCTGGGAGCCGGCCGTCATGCCGCCCTGTCAGAGTGAGTCTGCCCGGCCCGTCGACCGGCGCCGCTCGCTCGCTGCTGGTTGGGATAATTTCCCAGGTGGCGCTTATCAGTGTACGCACTTTAATTGTTGTACACGATACGTGTGGGGCGTTTCAAAGCAGCTAGTTTAGCCGTTTTATATCGAAAGGTGACCACTGACCACGTTTGCAGCAGCTGAGCGATGCAAAGCAAGGTCCTCACTATCAAAGCTCCCCATCCGTTCCACCTGTGGGTCGACGCAGCGCTGACCGCCGATCAGAGCTCCTATTCGGCCCCCTATGGGTCTGCGCAGCGCTGACTGCCCATTCTCCCCTCCGCTGCTGCCCTCTAACTGAGCTCCCTGTTCGGCCACCTACTCGTATTGGTCGGCGCAGCGCTGACTGCCGATTCTGCCCTCTGTCAGAGCGCCGCTGCGCTGAGGAACCTCCGGAGGTCTTCCAGAAGGGCATGACGAGGAAGTGGCCAAAAGGCGAGGACGGCCAGCCCAACTACGAGCTGGACGTGGTCATCCAGTACCGGTGTCCTCACCGCCGACTCACCTGGGAGTTCAACGAGACCATTCAGGTGAGCTTTTCTGTAAGGCGTTTGATTACTGAGCATTGAATAGTGGCTTTAGACCACCCTGATGCGCACTTTGAGACGCCTTTGAAACGATAGTGGTGACGGCCTACTGACGTGTTGCGGTACCGGCCCACTGCACTGACATGTAATTGTGGTGATGATGGCCTCGTGTTTTGTCGCTCGCCGGCAGGAGGTGATGTGCATCCACGATCCGGAGAGCGACCTCATGGTCTGGGAGCCCTTCAACATTACCCTCTGTAACCGTAAGTACGGGGCGAGGGAGCCGGGTTGAAAGCAGCGCTCGTCCGTCATCGACGCTCTGTTAGATCTGCCTCAGTCTCTCGCTTGTGCTAATCGTTCAACCTTTGCGTGGTATATTTGCTCGCAATTAAATAAAAAAAGAATCGCAATAAATCACAGCAATTGAATTGATGATAGCACGATTCAGTACAGAAGAATACAATTAGGCATCGACTTTAAGATTAGTGCGCACTGGAACGGTATAATATTGTATCTATGCTTGTGAGTCTCTGACCACCTGATTTTTTTTCTTGTCATCACTGCGTCGAACCGAGCACAATACGGATTTGTCTGCAGCGACAAGCTGCGGAAATCGGGACAGCATTACATGAGGTGAGCAAAACTGGGATCGGCAGTACATACTGAAAATGTGAAATAAAGTAAAACCAATGAGACAAATTGAAAAGGTGTAGTGATTCACACCTTAAAAAATGAAGCTGCTTTATGCACCTTCATATATTGATTAATTGAGCTCATTGCTAGTAGGTACTTGGCATAAGTAAGACCATTCAACCGTCTCTCATTCATTGCCTTGTTTTGAATTGTGTGTGTAATATACTGAGTCGATGATGTGATCGTATTTGTGATACATGCGTCGATGATGTGATCGTATTTGTGATACATGTGTGGTGCTGTGCAGCTTGTGAATATGACATCCTTATCCTTAACCCAGCCCTGCACAGCGCAAATGAGAGAGAGAGAGTGAATGCGAGAGTGTTATATGATCGTGCCTGATTATTGGTGACTATGCAATGGATATTGTATGCGTTGTAATGTCTTCTCACTTGGTGTATAACTGTATATGACCGTTTTCTTGCAGCGATGGTAAGCATAAATCGAACATTGAAACCACAACGATCGTTTGACTGTGTATATGTTTCGATATGTGACATGACGTTTGACAGTGCGTGAGGAGACATGCTCGTATGTGCAGTGGTATGTGCCAAACTTACCAATAACAGGACAACAGCAGGAATGGCGATAGACCAGAACAGGACCAGAGGGCAAATCTAGAGGTGAGACCATACATGAGCTATACTTGGCCAGAATTCCACCGATAAGAAATATCCTCTTTGCTAACCGCAGGTAAGACAATCTTTTATTTTTCAGTCTGTATGAATACCTAATTGAATGGTGTCCAGGGGCTTACGCGCACCCACAGTGTAGTGTTAACATACAAATAAAAACGTGTCATAATTCCATAAAGTAACGACTATTCAAAAACATTCTGACACATAAGCGATCAAATACCAAAACTTAAACTATTACCGATTCATATATCTATTAATCGACGTAGGTATCCCCTTCAAGCCCAGTCTTTCCATTCGCTCATCCCCCTCCCTCTCTGCAGCTGCAGCACAGCCGCTGCTGCTGGTGCTGGTGCTGCTGCTGCTGCTGGATTCTCCACCCTATGGCCCGTCGGAGCGGCTGGAGGCTGGAGCCTCCCTCAATTCCGCCTCCAACTGGCGGAGCCCACTTGTACTCGGCGGCTGGCGGCGGCCCGGTCCGGCCCGGTGCTCCGTCCGTCTCCGCTGGTGTGACTTCACGGATCATCAGCCAATGTTGAGAGAGGATCGTCACGACTACATCAGCGCGTCCGGCGACCGGTGAAGATGTCTACGGGAGCTGACAGGTGTGTTGGCGCTGCTGAATGTTGCGCAAATGTTTTCTCTCAAAAATGCTTCTGGTAATAAAACCTAAAAGGTGAAAAATATCTTGTACTTCACCCATAAGGAACAAAATAAAAGCTGTTCAACAATACAACACATTATTCCCTATCAGTGAGCACCTATGTTCATCCCACAGGAGCCGCTGCTGGCGCCCGGCGCCGCCAGCCGACGTGGTCACACCGGCCGCAGCTCTCTCCCAGAGAGCTGCCCTCCCGCGCCGCGAGCGACATCTGAATCTCGGAACTACGCTACGTGCGACACCTAGCGTCAGAAGGCAGAAGAAAATCACAGGACCACAATCGTCCGTATCTCCTGCCGCTGCGGCCTGCGAGTGTATCACCAAAGATCAGCAGGAAGAGGCCCGAACCAAAGAAGGAGAAGAAGAAGAAGAAAAATGACTTTTGATCCAGAAGTTCCTTGGCAAATTGCTTGAAACAGTTTTACTACACCCATTTGCTGAAAATGGTTGATTGCCTGTGCCATCCGGAACCAAAGCTTTGTCTGAGATGAGCATCTTGTATCGCATCCATGGGCTCCACATCCGTATTCGACTTGGCTGTGGGGGAAAACCTCCTTATATCTAAAGTGATTTTTTACCTCATAACACCAATGGACCCAGTATAAAGGTGCAAATTATAATATGGAAATTGGACTGAATGTAAAATTATTAAATATTTACCATGCATTTTTGTTTAAAAAATAACGCAAGAGAAGCTCGCATCCCCGACGTCGGCCGGAAACGGAGCCCGTGGACAGCTGTGTTTAGTTTGCCTGCTGTTTGTGTGTGCTGAACTTACAAGCGGATGCTGGTGGTTACGTGCTTACGAGCCTCTTGCAAAGCTACTCGCTACCAAAACATGGTTAATGTGTTAAGTGTATGAATAAAAGTATGCCTATCAATTATACATTGTCACACCTACTATTTAATAAATATAGGCAGAATCGCTATGAGGCAGAACGGACAATTTTGTTGCAAATGTGAACGGACTTTGATATCAAATAACACAGCAGAGGGCTGAAGTCGCAAGCATCGTGACCACCAGCATTAGCTTACCCTATCCATCCATGTCGTTTGTAATATGTGTTGAACTACATAGGATAGGTGGCTAGATGTAAACAGATTGTGTTCGCTTATAAGAAACTGAATCCAGATATCGCTAGTGCAATTTCGATATTGTGTTCTGTTGTGCTGTACAGTGTTGCAGATCGTTGTGTTCATAACTGTCTTCGGGAAATAGCATTAATAGCAAATCATCCCGAGTTGTTAGACGTTCATTAAAATAAACCGGAAACGGGTTAGATCATCCATGCAGTTTGTCAATAAAGTTCAAATAAAATCATTCAATAATGCTTGGTGAATTACGATGAGTTCATCATTTTCAATGTACCAATGAATCAGACATTACTTAATTGTCTCGATTGGTCCGTAGTTAAATTTTGCGTAATGCATCAGCTTTCTTGTTTAATTTGTGAGCATCGATAATTACTGATAATGTACGATAATACACTACCGATAATTATCGATAATGAACTAGCACAAACTTTTAAAAGTGTGATGGTCGTGCTATGTAGTAGTTAGCGATATCGGTGTATCATCTCTGTCACCTTGGCCTCGATATCCTGGCGACGGCATTAGCTCGAGTGGCTTCGTAGCAAAGAGGGAGGCGTCGACGCAAATACAAAGCACGTGTTCTCAGTCGATATATCTTGTTTGATCAATGGTATCAATGGCAGGCAATGGAATGTTTGCGATGTTTGCAATCACTTCAACCACAGATCTTCAACACTTCGCTGCACACTAGGGCCTTGGCACACTCATGCTTGACTCATGCCATACAGCTTTGTGTGCTTTGCACACGCTATCGGTGATTGTGGACGATCCATGGATTGAAGTGTAAACATTGATAAGACATTTCCGGTATGGGTTTCTTTCGCGTGAAGGCTAGCGAGGAAAATACAATAATTGTAAACCGAGACTGTGGTGTAAGAGTGGTGCTGGATTACCTGAAGATTCGACTGGGTATCACCGATACAGAGGTTGAGCTAGACCTATGCGACGAGTGGGGAAACGTACGGTTCCTGTCCCAAGCTCCTCCGAGATGCAACACAATTCACCTTCTAGCTCCTCGGGGGCTCTACACGCCGGTTGTGATAACACAAACGCCGACGCTGAAATTTGAGGTGAAATATTTTCCATTGGCTCTATAAGAGTTCCTTGCCTAAGGCGTACCACCTTCGATGTAAGGAATTATCTCGTATTTAATTTTGTAGTCAATTCAAGTACGTCTCGTCGTTCACTGTCTAGGTAATAATACCAATAGAAAAAGTGCGGTATGCGTTTGACCTGATTGCAGCACATGGCAGCATATTATATGATTCGATGCAGTTCTATTCTCTGTAGTTCCAGCTTGAGCACGCCTCAGTTGCATCCGTAATAGCGCACAATCGCCCCCCCCCCCCCCTTTGTTTCAGTTTCCTATGGGGAAGCCAGTCACCATCCATAGGCTCAGGGACGCTCAGCGAAAGGCCCGACGACAGTGGGGCAAGCTGCAGAAGTTGCTCGGCTCGTTCAGCGGCCAGTTCGACTCGGACGAAGAGGCAGTGGAAACCATCTACCAGGTGGTAGGGTCGCCTTCCGCCGACTACAGCAAGGGCAAGGTCAAGGGACGCGACCCAGCCCCAAAGTCTCCCCGGTCGAGGTCGATATCAGCAGGCAAAAAGAAGAAGGCGTCATGGGCCACCGATATATCTGAGTCAAAGGAAAATACATCCGAGAATGGTCAAACTCAGCCAGAGAGACCTGCGGTCTCTGCAGGTAGAGAGACAACAAGGGCAAGAAGGGTGTCCATTTCAGACGAGCGAAATGAAATCGAGGCTACTGAAGCCGAAAACAAGAGCAGTATGCAAAGAAGGCCACTCAATAACGTGGAAAGTAAAGGAACACATGGGCTTAGCCAAGATTACGGAGTAGATCACGACAAGACGGCAGGCCTTGCTGGCCGAAGAGGATCAACGAAATACGAGAATAATGTGCCTGAAATACCGGCAAACAAGTCCAAGGATGTTGTGACTGGAGAGGAGCATGATGATACCAGCAAGACGACACCGGCGAGCACCAAACCAGCAGAGGCCGGAGAGAGTGGCAAGGCTGCAGAAGAGGCACCAGAGATTCCGAAACCGAGCACCTCAACCACTGACAGAGACAAAACAGATCTTCCCGCTGAGCGTCCAGCACATGAATCGACAGACAGTGGTATCGAGTCAGCGGCCAGCAGGTCGGGCGGGAGGGCGAAGGAGTCGGGGATGCGGGAGACCTCCAGTGACGCGCAGTCAGCCAGCGGAGAGGCAGGAAGCAACGAGGACTCCCCCAGTGCGCCGACTTTGCCGCTGTCTAAGACGAAACTCAAACATCGCAGGAGCTCCAGAATGCCGGCCATTCCGGAGCAAGTCGCCCCGGCAAACAGTGGAGTCAGCAAGGATGGGGCACCCGCAAAGTCGGAGGCATATGACGAAAACCAACAGTCTCAGGATGGAAAGACAACCAGCTCCGGCCCGTCAGATGCAACGAACATCACAAACGAGAAGGACGTAACAAGAGACTCATCAAACGCCGCTTCAACCGATGCATCACAGCCGACAGCTAACGCAGTCACTGTCGAGCACAGTGTCGGCGAATCCTCCTCTCCCGGTGCACCCCGTCCGCCTCAGGATCCCTCATCTCCTGCCGCGAGCGGCGCTGCCCTGGCGCCGGAGGACATCGCCGGAGTGGCGGTGTCGATCGTCCCACCGAGTGCGGCGGCACCTCACCGGCGCAGCGTGGACGTCACGGCGCTGCTCGGCATCCCCGTGACGGACGGGACGCCCGGAGCCGAGGCCGACCCGTCCACCGGCCACGGCGTGCCCTCGATGATCGACGAGGAGTGGCGCAGAGCGGCGGCCACCGAACAGCTGGTGGGGGTGCTCAGCGCCACCTCGCGGCTCGTCTACCTCGGCTCGGCCAGGAGCCAGCCGGTGGACGTGCCGCAGATCAACGTGGTCAGCACGACGGAGGAGCAGGCGCAGCGGCTGAGCTCCGGGTCCGCGCTGCTGGCCGCGGCTGGACCGGGGGAGGAGAGGACCCGCACTGATGACGTGGGCGGCGAGCGGGGTGACGTGACGTCGCAGCCAGACACATGGAGGTCGCCCTCAGGCGGCGCCGTCGAGACCTGAACACAGCCTGGCATGCGAGATGTCCATTGTCCGATGCACATGTGTCAAGGCAATTCCGAATGTTCGTGGAAAATGCAGGCAGTGTGCAGGCGAATCGGATAGGAGCACGAAAATAGCTGTGCGACTAGGATGCAATGCAGCGATGATGAATTCGTTACTGTGCAGTGTGATTCAGCTACGCGTTTCTCGTACAAACATCGTGGATTTCAGTGTGCTAGCGTTAAAATGTTACGTTGATACTTGATTGTTGTCATGTATGTACGATGGAGTGCGTTTTATGCGACCAAAAGAGTTCACAAAACAAATATATTTCGTCAGTTCGATGACAATCATCTGTCAATGGGTTGATTTAAGCCAAACAATTTTTGGGCCAATATCCGGCGGCGGTATTAATAAGTGCCGGCCGCGAGTTCGTGCCGAGAATGGCGTGTCTGATTACCGCCGTCGCCGGCCAATCTCGGCGCGGTCACGCCGGCCAGAGTCGAATTCGATGATGGCCCGAGGCGGTATTGGATTTCCGACGGCTGACGGGGTGTCGGCGGCGCCCCCCGACATCATCCGTCGGCCGGTCAGCGGGCCGGTGCACACAGACGTTCACGCGGCACGTCCGCACGGCCCCGAGGAAGTGTACCTATACGGACGGGACTGTTGACGGCGATTCCCAACACGTCTGTGCATACGGCCGCCGAGGAAGTGTACTGTCGCGGCTTCCCTAAAGCTACCATGAATAATCTCATTATATGTACAAAGACGGTAACTTATGATGCACGGGCGCTTTCAAAATGTCTGACAGGCTCTGTTTCTTTACATCATGTGGTTAAAGTCGAGAACTGAGAAGGGAACGTACCTATAATCTCGTAGAAAGGTACGTTGTTTAAATCTCCAACATTTTTATATGTCCGAGTACCTATATAGTCAGTACCTACCTGCTAATGCCTAATACATACGGTACGTACCTTCAGATATATCTATCATCAAAGTTTAAAATACTTCAAAAAATTGTACCTTTTGTCATCGGTAAGCTCTAGCTATGCCTACCTTTTATAAATTTATGAACCCATTAGGACAAATAATATCAAATGGGATACAAGCTGATCAATGTCGACCCACTGCGGATGATGGAGCGAAAATGTTTGGCTGTCGCGGATGGTTCTCCTATAGAATCGGGCGCTCTGAAAGGGCTGAAAGGAGCGGATAGACTCTGTCCCAGAGCACTGAAAGGCGTCGCAGCAGGCCTCCATTAGGGCCAGTTACTCTACAGATACCGTCCAATCACCGCTCAAAACCAGTTACTCGGCACAAATCAGAGCCAATCAGAACATAATACCAGATGTCCCATTCGTTCAATCTTTCATTTAAAAAGGACACTGGATGCGCAGCGGTTGAAGCAGTTCGAATTCGCCAGGCACAATGAACCATATTAATCTGAGACCGAAGAAGGAACCGGTTGAATGACAACCATTGTGATTGTTCCAAGCAGGCGAGAGCGACCAGGAAAATGCTTCGATGTTTAACGGACGGCGGAAGGGCAGATGAGTTAAAAGACCGGGTGGGATACCTACACACAGCGACATTATTGATGAATGCACATTTTACGCTACTGGAAGGTACGCACATTGGCGAATGCAGAAAGACAGCATTGGATGCAGCGGAGGGAATGAGACGCTGCCCCCCCCCCCTTAGCTGAAAAAAATATACTTTGAAGCTTATCTATGGCCAGGTACGACAGGCTATTGGAAACCCATCCCAATAAATGAAATATGAATAAAGGTAACGTAGCGTAGGCCTAATCTAGGTAGGTTTTAGGTATGCCAGGAACCGATAAATTCTCCTAAATTTGGAACGTTGCAGTCGCCGGTAGCGGGGCATTTGACCCTGATGCATATCTTACCCAAGGCCCTTAAAACAACCTCACCACCATGGATCCACCAGTGAACGTTACAATGGCCCCTGCACTGCCATGGAGCTTGCCTATCGTTGCACTGACGGACCGATTGCTAAACGCAGTCGACATCTGGAGAGTGCTGACACCTAGCGAGCATTTCCTGAACTACCGGCCTCTCCATCACCGCCTCTCTTCTAACCTTCGGCCGACCCCGCGGCCGTTTACGGTGAAATCACGTGACCGCCTGGGGCGGTGGGTCTCAAATCAGTGCCGGTATCGTCCCCTGTCGTTTGTTTATGTCTGTCGTCAAACTCTCTCTCTGCGGCCCCACTGATATCTGGCTGGGAATAAACAGGCTGACCGGCGGGGACCCGGCGGAGATTCGCAGAGACGGCCGGCCGACGACGGAGACGTGCCAAACACCGGCGCCTCGGCGGACACGTGCGGTCCACGGGGACACCACAGAGGTGGCCGACACGTGCGGCCCCGCGGGTCTGAGCCGCGGATATCGGACAGTCGGGGATATCTGACAGCGGCTCCACAGGTCGCCGAGGTGGGCCGGCGGGTCCTGACAGACATAAGCCAGGATTCAGATAACGTCTCTGTTTGATCTGACGTGTTTCTGTTGAACAGATTGCAGCAACAAGTACCTTTGGTTTGCTCACCAGTCAGATAGCATTAAAACCCCATAATCCACCTCCAGCCTCATAAAAGTGATGACTAATTCGTGAGCACCCAAAAAGAGAATTACCTTATACCTACCCAGCAATCATAGAAGCGAGACACAATAGAACAATACCAATCAAATCGTAACGTTCAATTACCTCTCCTCATTCCAACCGTAAAACAGTATAGTGTTGCAACGAAGCTGGGGCAACAAAGCAAATATGCACCACTAATCCGGCCGCGTGACTTTGCCGACAGCGCCGCTCTCCCGAGACCTCATCCAGCGCTATCACGGGCGACCTTCGCGCCGGCTGCGGACGAAGACAGCCTTTGTTGTCCCACGTTTGGCCCGAGTGGACTCGTCAGTCGTCACCATCCATTCCTCGCTACCGGTTGATTTTGCTACCCCGCTGTCCTTCCACTACCTATATATGCATATGCAAGTCAACATGACCTATTCTTCTGGTATATCAGTAGTATGAACATATTTTGTTGGAAGTATAGTTAATCTGTTTATGTTGTTCCCGTTTACCATACGACATATTCCCGGCGGTTAAATAAACACGATTATCTCCCATTTCGGCTCTGCTGCCAGATGCCAGTACCCCGCAGTCTCTCAGTCTGGAACCTAGACCTGATCAGGGGGCTTAGCGAGCGGGCAGTAATTGGCGACAAGTGGATTTTGTCGGCTACAGCAGACAACCGGCAGAAATGGCCGCAGACAGCGGACGAACGGGGCCATTCGCAGCCCTAATTGGATCTCGAATATCCGCCCTTATGTCTGCAACGCCCAGTCGTTTAGCCTAGATTCACAGCAGTGGCTCTTTTGCCGGAACATTTGGGCATATGTGCTCATCTGAATGGGCCTCTAAGTGAGGTCATAAGAAGATTGTCTTTTGCAGTCTCTCGTCAACTATGCAGAATGAGACGACGAGCAGCATTTCTCCAAGAATAAGAAAGCGGTTTAATAAAGACAACACTCTAGAAAGACTAAGTGTGTTCTAGCTGTCACGTTTTATAGGCTGATGTTTGAACTAGGTATACATATAGTAAGCTTTGGCTCTCTGGCCCTCAACCCTTCCATCTATTGTCCATCTGTTGCTAACTACAAATGTTTTTGCAAAAGGCTTCATAAATTTATATCTTAACCCTCGCCCTGGCAGGGGGAGGGGGTTGATGCAACCCCCCTAAGGTTTTTCAAAGATAGCGTAAAAACGGCGGCGCGCAGCGCCGCCAAATTTGGCACAGCCTATTGGGCAACCTTTTTACATATGACCTGAAAATTTCAAGTCCGGGTGACCTTGGGTCAGGTCACCAGGTCAGAAAAACCGGTACAAGGTCATGGTCAAATTTCAATTTTCTTTTTGCACCTGTCCAACCCACAGTTTTGGACTGATTTTCTTCAAACTTTCAGGATGTGCTAAGTTCACCGAGTTGTATAACATATAGTTCGTTTTTTTTAGGTCACTGACCTGAGGTCAGTTAGAGGTCATGACGTCGTAATGTTAAGCCTATGGGAAAATACTAAATTCGGTAAATACTGGAGATATCCGCTTCGTTCCATCACTTTTGTGCTTTGAAACCATTGTAATTAACAGCAGGTCACTTGGTGCTTCTTTTTTGGTGTACTTATCCATGGGTCAGGTCAAATGAGGTCAACTGAGGTCAAATGACGTTTTTGTTAATAACTTGGCACATAATGACGCTAGAGCTTAAAAAATGGTGTCATTGCGTTCCTGGTGATCTGCCGAATCGAATGATATGCGATATGATGCAATTTGGTTAACATGAACTTAATTAGTTAATTAAAGTTTACTTAAAATTTAAGAAAAACTTTAAGTACACTTAAGCGAACAAAAAGCATATCATTCGACGCGCCTTGACGTGCTGAGTTCGCTGGTGCTTTTCTTTTTTCACTATCTTAATTAGATCAAAAGTTATAATTTTATTTCATTTATTTATTTATTTATTCAAATAAATCGCCAACAGGCTCATGGCCCATTAACAGGCGAAGTCATACCACAACATAAAATACACACACAAGGTAAACACTAAGCACTCATTCGCAATTAGATGACACTTAAAAATACAGAGATCCATGAAAGAGATCCATTAAATAATAATAATAATAAGTATAAATAATAATAATAATAAATAATAAATAAATATAATAAATAATAATAATAAATAAATAATAATAATAATAAATAATAATAATAAGCGAAAAACTTTTGACCTGTTTTTAGCGAAATTTTTACATTTATACCCCCAAACCCCCCCTAAATATTGACCTAGAGCAACCAAATTTGCACAGGGGCGAGAACTCCAGGGGGCCCACCTACCTACCAAATTTGGTGTTTCTAGGTGCCATAGGAGCCAATCGCGAGGGGGGTCGCATCAACCCCCCCCCCCCCTGTTATGAAAAATGCCCTGCCAGGGCGAGGGTTAACAACAAAGTTTAACCGACTAAAATATGTGAAGAAAATATGGTATGGGTTGCCGAGCATTTCCATAAAACAATGGTTTTCTTACAGCCTTAAGACGAATGGGTATATCACCGCCCATCTTTCTACTGAAAGGGATTAGCACATCCCTGAAATACCAATTAGTCTCCACCAGCTATCTCGGAATTCGGATGCCGGTTGCCTCGCATTCCTGAATACCCGAGTACAATTCCTCCAATCTTTCATTGAATTCCTATCCTGATTCCCGCTTAACAGTCGTGAAGCATCGCAGTTGCCCTACCAAATGTCGTTTACGTTTGTGAACCGGCTGTGTCGAACATTTCTGTCGCCCCTTATTCGCTGCCACTCAGCTGCTGACTGTGGTTTAATATATTGGTCGACGGACGTGTGTGAGTCGTAGGAAGCCTTTTGACGAGAATAAGGTATAGCGCGCCACCGCGGCATCTGCTGTGGCGGGGGCGGGGGCGGGGGCGGGGGCGGCGGAGACAAGGGTGGAAACGCGAGGCGCCACCCCGCCCGGAGCTATTGTTAACTCGTCCCATCTCCATAGCGCCGCCAGTACAGCCATTGTTGAGCGACTGCCTGCGGCGGCGGCGGCGGCGGCGGCGGCGGCGGCGGCGGCGCGGGGCGGTGGCAGCAGCCATATTACCGCTGCCACCAAGCTGTCAACCACTGACACCTTCATGATGTGTCAGCGCGTGACAATGACATCAGGCGGTGGGATGTTGTGACAGCGCAGCGCGGACATGCAGTGCAACACCCACGCTTTGTTCGGTGTCTGTGTCTCCTATTGTTATCACAGAAAAAAAAAAAACGCTGAAGCCAACAGCTGCCCTCCCAAACACGCAGCCAGCAATCAAAGCCAATGTAGGTGTGCGCATTTTGAAACGATGGACCGTGTTTCGTTTTAAATGTGTGCTAAATCCTATGAAAGAAAAGGCCAGCTTAAACCCCACAAACGTTCTTGGAATGACAAAAAAGTGAACGAATTAAGTAGCCCATACAAAACACATCAAACTCGCCAAAGCTCGATAAACACTTATATTTTGATTGCAACACTTGTCTACACAGCACACATCACACACATCGGCCATTGCGCGCATATAAATATAACAACAGAATATATCACAAGTTTGAGATCAAACGACGGCCGGTGCTGTCGACTCCGGCGCTCTGCGCGGTCCGGCCGCTCCAATATCGCTGCCGGCCGCTTCACATGCAGGTCACGACTGGGTCGACCCGTCGGCCCCCCATACTGACCGCCGCCCGGCCGGCCGGCCGCTCCGCAATAACCACAACAAGCTCACTTGGAACGGGGAGACGCCGCCGGCAGAGCGCACCGTCGAACTGAGAGACTCAGGTCACCCGGCCAGGTCACCACAGGTCACTGATCGCGGTAGTGAGTCTGACAGCTCATTCCGAGTCCATTTATAGTCACACAGTCACTCAGCTGCAGTGGCACGCCATACACAGTGTGCCAGTCTCGATGACTGGCAGCTGAGGCCATTAGCCAGGCATGCTGAAAGCAGAGACAGAGTATTAATTAGCACGAGGCTTGCAGCTGATTGTCATTGCGATCTCAGATGCATTAGGCCAAGTAGTCATTACGGATGATAATGTTAGTGGCGCGGAGTCGTGCAGAATAGTGATTAATGCCAACCTCGGCAACATATCACAAAAGGTATAAAAGACATGTTTGACAAAATGACTACATGCACTGAAACATGAGCAGAATTTTCAATGTTCCGTGTTGAGAGCCTAAATAATAATCAAACTAATCCCGTCAAAATAACTACATGGCTGATAACCAATCCAATGACTAAAAAAGAACAAAATGCATTGAGAGCTTGCTTTGTTCCGTACCTTGGACTGATTGGCGACTGTCCTCTGGGCTCTGACGTCCGGGACGATTCCAATGACAACGAGACCTTGCCGAGATGACGCACGACCGACAATGCCGGATGCAGTGGTTGATATCACAGACTTCATGACGTGCGCCTTCCTGCAGCTGCTACTTCCCATGCATCACAAGTATTTGGTCGAGTCTGGCGAGACAAAATACAAACGTCAGAATGTAAAGTCAGTGAATAATCGTCAAAAATAAAACTGAAATAATTTAACGAAAAAATATGAATGATGTAAAATGCTTAACAGTAAATAGCTACCTTTCAAGAATGAATCAATTTGACCTTCAATAGCAATTAAACGCTATCCATTTTTAACATAACGTAAAGCTACAGTACGAAATTAGGTGAAGGGAGGAGCAATTAAAAAAAGACCTGACTTACAATTTACTTTACTGTAATATTGCAACAAACCACGGCTCGAATTAGGGCAACCAACCAGATTGAGAGGAAGATGTTGCTCACCTCATTCCCACAATGACGGTATCGTCTTGGGACTGGGCCGGTGCTGCTTGAGCTCGCTTATCTCGGAGTAGTGCGATACTGAAGTCTCCATCTCTGAATAATGTGAGCTAGAGCCACCCACTTCAGAGTAATGAGATACGGAGCGCAAGCATCGCAGGTTGTTTGGTATGTCCGGCATGGAGAAGCGCAGCTTGTCCCAGAACAGTTTGTCGTCCCAGCTAATGCACGTGTTGGTCTTGAGGTAGAGCCGCAGGTCGGGGTCCAGGTCGCGCTGCGGCACGTCCCCCAGAAGGATCACTATGAGCCGCTTCTGGCGGTCCTTGAGCACCTCGTGGTGCGCCGACTTGAACTGGAAGCGGCACCACTCGTTCTCGATAAAGTTCCTCGAGAGCACCATGATGGTGCGCCGGCTCGACTCGACCGCCTCGACGATGGTGTCTGCCAGGTAGGCGCTGTGCGCAAAGTCGCGGTAGTGCAGCGCCAGCCGGTACGGCGGCTCGCCGTGCTCCAGCTTGGGCGCCAGCACGTGCTGCACGAAGGCCTTGTCGCGCTCGCTGTAGCTGACGAACGCGTCAAACAGCCGCTCCTGCTCCTCGTCGAGCGCCGAGCGGTAGCAGACGCGCACGCCGCAGCGCGAGTAGATCCAGACGCGCAGCTCGGCGCGGTAGGCGAACACGACGGCTGTCAGGGCGGCCAGCAGCAGCAGCACGACGGCGGCGCTGACCAGCAGCGGCAGGTAGTCGGCCACCCCCTCGCCCGGCACCGTCCGACGCGACGGACGCTCGTAGCACGTCTCGTTGCTGCCGTAGATCGCTCGCGCCTCCGCGTCTCCCTCGAACCGGCACACCAGCGAGCTGAAGTCGACCACCTTCTTGGCGTTGGCGGTCAGCCAGCCCTGGAAGCGGCGCAGGTAGTCGCACGCGCATGTCAAGACGTTGTCAGTGAGGCCAATCTCCACCAGGTAGGGGTTCTTCTCCAGCTCCCAAACGGAGAAGTCCTCCAGCTGATTGCCGTCCAAGCGAAGGACCTCCAGCTGTCGCAACGGCTCGAACGTTTTGTTCTGCACGCGTGTTAGCTGGTTGTCCTGGAGATAGAGCTCCCGCAATCGGTCCAGACCGACGAACTCCTGACCATTGAACTCGGTGACCAGGTTCGACTCCAAGTGCAGGGTGGTGAGCTGAGTCAAACCGGCGAACGTCTGGTTGTGAAGGAACTCGATCTTAGAGTTGTTGAGGTAGAGCACCTTCATGTTCTTCCTGCCCAGGAACGTCAGGCCAGACAGGTTCTTGAAGCTGTTGCCGTCCAGGTAGACCTCGGTGGCGTCCATCGGCAGGCGGCCGGGGATCTCCTCGAAGTTGTTGTTGGAGCAGTCGATGATGTTGGACGACCAGGACTGGTCGTGATAGCAGCGGCACCCGGCCGGACACGTCATCTCGCAGTCGCAGGCGTCAAAGTCGCAGCAGTGGCAGGTGGTGAAGCAGTGCGTCTGGTACGGACACAGGAACATGGAGGCGTCAGCATCCACCAGCGGCACGTAGCTGCGGCCGCGGTTGTAGATGAGACGGCAGTAAATGCTCTCCAGATCCATAATCCGGGGATAGTGGTTGTAGTGGTTGATTTGGTTGTATCTCTGCAACCACTCCATGTTGCAGTCACAAACAAATGGATTTCCGCCGATGTAGAACTGTGGCATATGCACGGTTTCGTTCGGCATGTTTAATCGCAATGCGTTTAGGTTCATGTTTGTTATCTGGTTGGCAAACAGATCCACTCGTGACAAGTTACTCATGAGGAAGAAGGTGTACTGTTCGACTGACCGAATCAGATTATCATTGGCCAGAAGAAGTTCAATACTGCGCGGCAGGTGAAACCCGGAGAGTTCCGTCAGACGGTTGAAGCTGACGTCCAGAGTCCTAATGGACATCTGGTCCGCGCTGTCGTGGCGGTTACTCAGCTCGGTGATCTCGTTGCGGTGCAGATCCAGCCAGACGAGACCGCGCGGCACCGACGCGTAGTCGAAGCGGGCGATGCTGTTGTCGCTGACGTTGAGCCAGCGCAGCCGTGACAGGCCGGCGAACAGGCCGTCGATCTGCGTCAGCTGGTTGGCGTCCAGTCGGACGGCCTCCAGGGCGCCGCTCGACTCGAACGCGCCCGGCTCCACGCGCTGGATCCGGTTTCCGGACAAGTTCAGGATGCGCACGTGCGGCAGGGCGCGCAGCATGTCGTGCGTCACCTCGGTGAGCACGTTACCCTCGAGCCGGAGGCTGAATAGCTGCTGCATGCTGGCGAGCTGGGCGCCGCCCACTGCCGAGATGTAGTTGTTGCCCAGGTCCAGCACCTTCAGCAGCTGCAGGTCACTCACCGCCTCCGGCACCTGCGTCAGTCGGTTGTCGCTCAGCGAGAGCTCCTGCAGGCTGCTGACGTTGCTGAAGGCCGAGGGGTGGACGTAGTCGATGATGTTGTTGTCCAGAGACAGCGTGTTCAGCACGAAGAGCCCGTTGAGGCTGAGCGGTCCGATCCTGTGCAGTTTGTTGTGGGACAGGCTGAGTGTGTGCAGGTTGGAGAGCGCCTCAAACGCATTGGGCGCCACGTCGTCGATTTGGTTGTGGTGCAGCTGCAAACTCTGCAGGCTGTACAGACCGGCGAACACGGACGCGTCGATCTGGCCGAGCCGGTTGTGCGCCAGGTCGAGTACCAGCAGCCGCTTGAGGCCGGCGAACGTCTCCGAGTTGATCCAGGTAGCGCTGAAGCGGTTGCCGGCCAGCTCGAGGACCAGCAGCCGCTGCAGCCCGCGCAGCAGCGCCGCCGGCAGCTGCGACAGCCGGTTGCGCGCCAGCCGCAGCTCGGCGAGCCGCGGGGTGGGCTGCAGCAGCTCGGCCGGCGTCGTGCTGAGCGCGTTGTCCGACAGATCGAGCTTCTGCAGCGTCGGCAGGCCGGACAGCGCCCCGGCCCCGAGGAGCTCCAGGGCGTTGTGGCTCACCGATAACTCCGTGAGCGCTGGCAGTGCCGCCAGCGCGCCGCTCGGCAGGGCCGTCACCTGGTTGTGGCTGAGGTCGAGCGAGACCAGGTCCGGCAGCTGGCAGCCAGCCGTCAGACCGAGCTCGGCCACCTCCTGGAGCCGATTGTGCGACACGTTGAGCCTCTGCAGGCCGGGGAGCGAGCAGAGCAGGCCGACCGGGAGCTCCGTCAGCCGGCTGTGGCTCAGCTCGAGCTGCTGGAGGGCGCCGAGGCCGTGCAGCGCGCTGTCAGCCACCACCAGACCGACCGAGTCGCTGAAGGTGCGCACCGTCAGCGAGCGCAGCCGCGTCAGCTCGGCCAGCGCGGCCGGCAGCTCCGCCAGCCGGCACCGCTCCAGCGTCAGCTCGGTGAGCGTCTCCAGACCGGAGAGCGTGCCGTTGGTGATGAAGCTCTCCTCCTCCGAGCTGCTGCAGCGTACCGTCAGCGAGGTCACCGGCGCGGCGGCCACCGCGGCCTCCTCCGACAGCCGGTCCATTAGTCCCAGCGTGCGCGGCTCACAGAGCACATGTCCCGGCCGCGTCCGGTCGGTCCTCTCACAGTCCGGGACGGTTGCCACCGCCGCGGCCAGCGCCACGAGCAGCGCCCACAGACGCGTCATCGCTGGTCTCTCTCTCACCGACACCGTCTCTCACCACATTGGTGTGCGTCTCTCACTCGCTCTCACTGTCGGCAGTCGGTGTACGGACACGGCGGTGGCACGTCCTCCCCGCGCCGCGTCTCTCCGAGAACTGGCGGCCGGCGGCGGCTCGGTGCCGGCCGCTAACACTACGCTGCAGTCTCCGCCGGCGGCGGCTGGAATGTGCCGACTGACTCCCGCCGCCGCCGACAGATGGCAGGCAGAGCAGGTTCGGCGAACGGCCAGCTGCTCGCTGCTCGGCCGACAGCCTCCTGAGTCGGGCCGAGGTCCGCTGAGGACGGCTGCCCGGTGCCCAGGGTGCGGTCATGCAACCACGAGCTGACACGATATATTGCCTGGTAAAAATATTCCTCGGCCGCGTAGAACTGTTGACAGTGGTTGAAAGTTAACGTCCGCTGCTTTAAGGTGGATCGGTAGGTATTGACGGTTTGGAATTGGACCTAAGCTACCACTGGCGATCTTCAACTAAAATTTGATTCAACCATACCCCGTTTTCCAAACAGCTGATTAATTGGATTGTTTTATTACAAATAGCCACGATTCTTCAACAGATAACCAGATTGCTTTGATAGCAACTCTCATGCATAAGACTCATCGGTGATTTTTCATTGCTAGCAGTGCAGCATGTACCTACTGCCCTAACTGAAATCATGATAGGAAGAAGGCGATACTCGTATTTCGTATAAATAATGATAATTGGGTCGGTGCGGGTGATCGATGACTGTTGATCGTCTGTGGGTCGACTTCACTGACACCCCGGGCCAGGTCGGGTCGCCACTCTGTAAACCGATTCCCCGGCTGTCGGCGCTGACGGAGCGTCTCCCATCGAGCGTAACAGCCAGGCCGGCACCTTCGCCGCGCCACCAACGCCGCGCGCCGCCGCCAGCCGCGTCAGATTTGTCGCGCGCGCCGTGTGCGCCGGTGGCCCGACCGGGGCGCTGCATAACAGGACCATAAAGATGGTGGCGATACAGGGCCGGCCGGCTATCTGATGGTCCCGGCAGCGGGACAGAGCGGGCCGCCTCCTCACGGCTTCATCGGCGGTGGCCCGGTGTGAGTCCGGGCGACGCCGGCTGGACACCGTCCCCGCTCTCACAGGGTGAGCTGCTTCTCACGCCGGGTCGGCACGGCGCCCGGCGACCTCCCGGTGCGCCGGAGCCCCCCTCCCGGCGCTCTCAATCCTCCTCCGCCGACCGACGTTCTGTAAAACCCGCCGGCCGCCGCCGCCGCCGCCGCCGCCGACTCCTGAATCCTCACTGTCTCCGCCGCCGTTTCCGCCCCACCCCCTCCCTCCTTTCGCTACTCCCACCAGCGGCGGTCACGGTGGCGAAACTTGGCCGCGGCGACACGGAGACGGCGGTGAATAATACATTAGGCCAAATTGAAATGGAATGGAGCCGGGAAAGTTATAACCAGATTCATTACAGGATGAAACATGTAAATTTCCTTTAATTCGACTACGCCGACCACACACTTTATGCTTGACTTTCATTTTGCAGTGATTATAAAGCACTTGAGTGAAACAATTAGCGCACAGGGGTATTGTTAGAGTGGCCGCTGAGCAATGGATGCCGTCTGACCTTTACCCTCGTCATTCCGTGTTTAGCTTTCTTCTACTTAGGGATTTCTCCGTCACTTGCATGCAAACCCTTCTCGCTGAGATGATCTGGCGGCCCTGCCAATGTCGCGTGCAATAAGCAGCTGATGCTCCGCGCTGAAAGCCTGAACTGACCGCGGTGGAGCTCGTTTAGCCGTGAGGATTCCGCCGGTGCCAATATGTCGGCCCCTTTGAGGCAGTTAGCGGAGGCCACAATGTGATAATTCTATGCAAATGTGGTGTCGCAGACAATGGGGGAGCGGCTGGATTTGAATAATGTCTGAGTGATGATCTTTGGGGGCATTTACTACTGTTTGCGAACTTAACCGTGGCAATTCTCGGCGTGCGGTACAGAAATGGGCACATGTTTGCACTACATAGGGATGGCGGCGTGTGGGATGGAGGGATGGAAAACAGCATCTGCCCTTATATTTCCTTCCAGTCATGTCCAAACAATATTTGTTGTTATTAAATACATGCTATCATCTGTATTCCTGGTGAATATAATTTTAACACTGGTCTACCAAATCATTTAAAAAGCACACTCCTGAAACTCAATAATGAGTAATTGTATGGATGAATATGATAAAACGGAGCTGCAAGTTAAGGTATCATGATTCATTATAAAGTTGCATATCTAATGAGGAGTTATTCAGGATATCTAGCGGCGTGGCATTGCAACACGAGTCCTATCAAATGTAGATGTTGTTCTGCAGAGTTTCCAAATGAAGGTGAACTTTGCTGCCATTCCTTCTCAAACTTTGTAAATAAGCCAGTGATGAAGTCGACAGACGCAGCGACCTCCTGACTCGGAACATCACCGAGGCAGCACGAGACAGCCACATGACAGTTCCAGACAGCCCACGTCAAAACGGGTAATTGTGCAGACATTTACTGATTGCTCAGTTCAGCGAAAGGCACCGGCACCATGTCATGCTAAGTAATTGCATACCGAAGGCTAAGGGTTAGTTCCGGAATTTTGGACAGTGCGCCTTCAAGCAGCATAAGTTCTTGGGCGTTCTTCGAAGATCGGTCTGGCATTAGCTTATGCTGCAGTTACACTTTAAAGCAGTCAAGTCAAGCATTTATACTTTATGAATAGATATGGTGTAGTTTCATCTAACGACATTTGTAATTAAATGACGTTTCTCCATGTTTGCGAAATGTTTTTTTTTTCATTATACTGCGCGAGGCGATGCATCCCACCTATCATATATCGCACCAAAAATCGAAACTTTTCTCTACCAATACTTTTCTATAGGTAGTCCAACAAAAGTATGCTGGCGAGTGGCGACCTGTGACCGTCTGTTGTCTTGCCCTGGATATCTTGCATAGCAACAACGTCTGCGTCAAAGAGAGACAAAACACAGCGCTCAGCCGAAACAAATGACTCATCAAAAACGTCATTGCTTGTCTTGTTGTCTAATCTGTTTGCTCTTCGCATCAGATGCCTATGTATATCCAAAAAGATAAACCACTTCCCTCAGATAACGAAGTCACAACCAAAAGCTGCATCGCAGATAAGACTTCCAAACATATAAGCCTCCGACGGTTTTCTGATGGGTGATCTAAGCTCGTTACTGCTCGCTGCTGAACCGTTCATCTGCACGCGCCACCGATGGTGCGGCATCCTGCCTCTCCTCTCGGCCACCCCTAGCTGTCCCAGAGCGTGACTGTCACATCTCGTGACGACTCCGCTCCGTGACTGTCACATCTCGTGACGACTCCGCTCCGTGACTGTCACATCTCGTGACGACTCCGCTCCGGTGACAGTGTCGCATGCCGGCGTCACCACCGCGAACCGACACCTTGACGGCGCGTCACACTGACAGGCCGTCACTTTGCCGGTCTGTCAAATTGACAGACTGTCACTCTACCAGTCTGTCAGACTGACAGAATGCTCTCTAACAGTCTGTCAAAACTGACAGACTGCTCTCTATCGGCCTGTCAAGCTGACAGACTGTGAATCTGTGGGATGGTGCTCTGATGGAGACAAATGACAGACAAACGTTCTGATTGACTTTCAGTATGTCTGACAGACATCCTGTCAGTCTCCGACAGACTTCTGACACACTGTCAAACTGACGGTCGGAAGACAACTCGCTGCCGCCATGTGGCGTAACGTGCACACGGCGTGACGTGACGTATACGTGACGTGCATGATTGAGGCCTGGCACGTCTGTGAGTTTTCATGATCGGCCCCCCGGGCGTGCCAATGACGCGTGATTCGGACAGTTGCCGCGTCAATCACTGCCGATTGTGCGGCCCCACCCCGGTGGACTGAACAATACATGCTAACGATGATCATTGGGTTCAGGGCCGAGCTGCGCCCTGTTCGCACTGGCCATGCGAAGCTGCCGATGTGCCGTGAATTTAAAATCGCCCTAGTCACGGTTTCCGTTGGTACGCGTTTTGTCGTGGTAGGACGGGCTGTGAAAACGCGGATTTCCGTAGTGGCCATACCGATTCAAGTCTTGTCGCTCGACTGGTCCATTTCATCATCACCGTCCAGGAAAAGTTTTAGAACTACACGCAGACTTGAAAACTCATTTGGACGTTTAAGTGAGTTCTTGGCGCCGGTTTAATTGATGAGGCCCGCGTGGAAGGCGGTGCTCCGACAACTTGTCCTTCGCCGAATATGGTCTCGACCAAAACCGATTTAAATTAAATGAGTAATCGAACCGTGTGGAGAGTGATCGGGAAGCTGGAGGCTAGCTCATTTCGTTTAGCGGTATAGGGGACTCTTACCAGCCACTGTAAGCGATACCCTTCTTATGGACAGTGGAACAACCCTTCCAACGCTGAAGAGTTGATCGCGGCCAATGTTGTTCACCATTTGAATGTCCGACAAAGTATCTTTGCGGGATTTGAGACCAATAATTGACGTACTCGTGGCCTATATTGACCCCACGCCCGTTCTGAACTGATGATATGTTTTCCCGCCGCGTCCCCCTTGCCGCCCGGCGCCCATCCACCTTCATCGCCACCCAGTTCGTTGTCACTACTGCCTCCCATACCACCCAGATGGATTCACTCACAGCCAGCGACGTACTCGTAAATGTCTCACAGTTGTGAGCCCCAGTGACATGTTCGACACCAGCGACGCTGTGCCGCCCTGCACCGACGCCGCTTCTGCTCGACTACCTTTTACTGTCTGCGCCACGCTGCAACGGCTACAGATGTGACGCGCCTGCTACAGACGTGGCGCGGGTGCGTTGATTGCCGTGCTGCAGCTTGCGATAAGAGGTGACGCTGATGGGAACCTCCTGATGGCCGTGGTTAACGATGATTTTAGATCGGTGATAAAAACTAGCCGCCTTTTTGTCCAGTCATCCAGCCCACCCCGGTCAACAACGCGAAACATGTTCAGGTAGAACCTGTATATGTAATGCCACCCACTTCGACGTATACGACCGATTGCTATATCAACGAACATGCATTGTTTTTCAGGCTTTTTTCATTTATATTCTGGAATGCATTGGCAATATCATTCAACGTCAATGCGCCATGCTAATGTCAACCCTTTTCCTGAATATGACCTTTATTACATTTTTTTATGAACATGAACAT